TAAGCTGGACCCGATCCATTCACAGCATGGTACATGAGCACCAATGTTTTGAACTGGATGCGGGCGGCCACCGGTAGCCAGTGAAGACAGCGTAGGAGTGGAGTAGTGTGGGAGAATTTCGGAAGGTTGAAGACCAGTGGGGCTGCTGCATTCTGAATGAGCTGCAGAGGTCGAATGGCGGTGGCAGGGAGACCAGCCAGAAGGGAGTTGCAGTAGTCCAGGCGGGAGATTACATTACATTACATGTCATTTAGCGGATGGTTTTATCCAAAGCGACGTACAATAAGTGCATTCAACCATAGATGACAACATAAAAATGTCGTCAACCATAATCAGCTTTTTGAATGTTGTCAAAATGAAATGGGCACTGAGCACCCACAGGGTGCAGTGACAGTGGGGGGGTCTAGACGGAACAGACCTGGGCGGTAGATGCTGGCTCTGGGGACGTGGAACGTAACCTCTCTGGGGGGGAAGGAGCCAGAGCTTGTGCGGGAGGTGGAGCGTTATCAGTTGGATCTGGTGGGGCTTACCTCTACGCACAGCCTCGGCTCTAGAACCACACTCCTGGATAGGGGGTGGACTCCACTGCATGAAAAGTGGGATTTTCGGCAGTATGCGCCACTGTAAATTGTCGTGGAATTTCAGGTTTGCGGCAATTTGCGGGCAACGCCGAAAACTGCCGTAAATTGTCAGAAATTGATGTGGGCCTCCCTTGGCAGTTGTCCCCCCATGACCCCCCTCCTCCTAATTCTAGGGGAGGCTTTGACATGTAAATGAAAATGCTGTGAGCTATACAAATGCAAATCAGGGTCGCAGAGGGAGTTTTAGCCCAGGTGACATTTTCTTAAAAGGTAAGAAAATCTCTGGTACAAATAGATCAGGCTCAGTAGCCTAATTATAGACTCTTACATTTGAGCTTGAATTGATTTATTTAATTCAAATATGCTAGATTACTGTGTACGCCATTAGCAATGGCAAATGCTATGTAAAAAAGATACACTTCTTTAAAAAATGAGTTTTAATCAAGGTAAAATGAGCATTCCATGCAAACAACATTTGAATCAGCATGAGGGGTCTGCAGAGATCAGTCTCCTAGAGCTCAACTACAGTGCATAGTGGCAGGACTACAGTGACCTTTTCTTTGGTCTTACTTAAATGCACACAGGATGTATTAACCACACATCTTCTAGCAATGCGCTCAACTGGCAGAATGATGCTGGGTATGACGTGTCTGTTCCCTGCAAGCCCCAAACTTCTATTGGCTTTCCATAAAAATGTCTGTCCGGGTGGGGATGAAGCCAGGAAACGTGTGCACGAACATGTTTAAATGCCGTACCCTTTGACACAACATTAACAACTATAAACTGCTTTATAATGGCTGGTCGTAGTTCTGCTAGAGGGTCAAGGACGGGTTCCTCAAAACTGTTAGTCTTTCCACACCACTTAGCATGAACATACGCTGACCTTTATGCTCTGCTTCTATCGATTGAGTAAGTTACATTCATATATGTTACCCGTTTACATGTCACGGCAAAACATTCAACCTCAGTGACACAAGGGTACATGTGATGATACATTGTCAACATTGCATGTCTGTCAGACTCAAGATTGTCTGGTGGAATGGAGAAAGAGGCACCACTGTACAGTTTTCTAGGGAAAGTCGTTCTGCTGACACCAAAACACTGCTTTACATAAAGCATATCAGCTGTTTCAAAGTCCCAACCATTTGTCTTCCTAAAATACTGGTCCTTCCGTATAACAATAACCTTGTATGTGATTGGAGGACCCTTAGACTCCTCGTCCAATCACGTGTGAGGTCATAGGCATGACTCAGACAGCAGTACTTGCAAGACGAGCAAACAAACACACACGTGTGTGTTACTATATTCAAAAGAACTGTATCTCCAGTTCCTTTGTTTGGTTTTTGCTGGTTCGTGAATAATGGCGGGACGACGTCGCGCGTTCAACTCGCCTTCAACTCCTCTCCGCGGTCACCAACTTTCGGCCAGTCCGCAGACAGACGAGAAGAAGCTGCTGAATGTGGATCGTCTCGTCAACTCCAACAACAAACTGCCGATATCAACGAGCGGTTCGCTCCACTGGAGCGTTCGGGACTCTGCGGGTTTCTGTCCATGGAGGAGAGGAACTGACTCAAAGAAGAGGAGACGGGCGCACAATCCCAAGATAGCGGTAAGAATACGTTCGATGACTGCAAACTAAGCTAAAAGTAGCGTAGCCTCAAACGAAAGCTAAGAGTAGCCTAGTAGCCTTACAAGTGAGCAGAAACTGCTTTATTAAAGTGTGTTTTCTTGCCGTGTCGTTTACAGGAAGCGGTGCGCCGTCTTCACAACTCCGAGACGAATTACAGTCACCACGAACCGGAGCAAGGGTCAGATTTAAAGAATATGCTTTCATTCTGCGCTATAAGGGAATATATACGTATAGATACCATAGGATGGATACCGATCATAACTGTACATTTTGTTTTCACAGACTGATCTCGCCTCATAATGAGGCGGTGACCTCGTATTTGCTCCGGGAAAAGTCCAGATTTAGACGACGTCATTGTGTGTGAATGACACTGTTTACTGTTTCTCCTTCCTTGTTAAATGGTACTGTGACTTGCGTTTGATTTTTTTTTATTCATACCACACTCATTTAATTGTTTTCCAGCCGCCAGTGAGACTTATTTTGAGACGGGACGCAGGAGCTTCAGGTTCAGCCGGAAAACACTCATTGCGAGCGGAAGCTGCGAAGGATTCAGCGCGGAGTCGAGCGAGAAGAAAGCGGGTCAGAGTTTATTTGCTGACTTGTTTCAGGTGCATTGATAGATGTGTTGTGTCCATACGCATCGCATCGCACAGTACTGATTCATTGTTGTTTTTACAGCTGCTGGACTCGAGACAAAGTGTGCTGGCTGATGACGAGGTGGAACGCTGGAAATCCGCCACCGTAGAGCTCACGTCGGACGGAGGGGACGGCGTTGTTGGCGGGGTCTCGGGGTGGATTGTACGGTCGCCACACACACACGAGCCGCCTGCACAACAGACCTGCCTCGGAAAACACGGCGCCAGTGACGGTCTACAACCCCGAGGAGGCAAACGGACAGTTTACTGAGCTGTAGTTTTTAAACCGCCTTTACCCAAGTGTGGGCAGATCCTCACTTTGTATGTAGTTGTTGTTTGTGTGTTGTTAATAAAGCTCTTTCTTTGCATAAACATGTGGCAAATGTTAATTTTTTCTATAAATTCATTGATGTCCTGGTTGGTATCCTAATAATAGTGTAGTAGCCTACATAGGATAACCATGAAATGAATATACAGCATAATATGAATATATAAATATATATAAATAAAATGAGGCGGGTGACCAATAGCGACAGATCTGCCAACCAATCACGAGTGATTGAAAGTTGTGTTTTCATCCAATCATGAACAAGGAAACTCAAGCCTGGTCTGCCCAGGTGTAGTTTTGCTGCCAATCACGAGTGATTTTATTTGTTCGTAAGTTGTGGTTTCATCCAATAAAGAGTAAGGATATTCAAGCCCGCTCGGCTCGGCCACCCGCGGTTTCGCTGCATTCATATGCTAAATCGGGCCATTCGCACCTCCGCCAGCTCTCCACCTACGTCATGGTTCGTTTCCGACAATTTGTGGCACAGACAAACGCGACGTGCGCGGGTTGCAAATTGTCGGAAATTGTCGGAAATTAGGGAGATTTCCGGGCATTTCCGGGGACGAAAATCTCACTTTTCATGCAGTGACCTGTACGGAATGTGTAATATTCGTGTGCGTGCACTGACATTTAATTGTCTAAGTACGACACGTACCAGTGAGTTTCTTTTAGTCGGCGCTGTATGCGTCCATCTTTATTAGTGCATATTTACTTCTGCGCATAAACGTGCACCTTGATGACCTCATCACAACATGACAGACATTTGAACCGGAAGTATCCAAGATACTACAGAATGGATTACCGCCGGAAATTAGCAATGGATATCAGGCGATATTTGAAGAGATCATCGAGTGCTCCCACTCCCACAGATGCCCGCAAAAGGCCTCGAGTACATAGTAAGACTGAAGAAGATCAATTCACGTTTTTAAACGTTGTTTTGATTCGCACAAGACAGGGACAAACGCTATTAATAACGTGCTTTCAAATACGATGATGCAGGTAACAAGCCAGCCGTCCCGGTCCCATCTAAATAGGCCTAATAAAATGAGTAATTATCCTCACGCATATTGCTGCAGATTAGGCTAATTCATTGAAAAATTGTCAACAGATTATGTGAAAGCCAGTTAGACATAGCTAAGAGAAATGCTAAGTGAAATGTTTGAGTTTAGCTATAGAATCTTCAAATTTCGCGGTCAAAGTCAAATATATTAGTTTTTGACTTTCATCATGTCCTGCTCTCATAGAAAACGTGAGCGGAGAGCAAAGCTGTTGCTTCACTGAATAGGCCTATATGCTTAATCAATTATTTGAAGTCATGAAAGGTGTAGAGTAGCCTGTAAGCGAAATACACTGTAAACATAGATTATTTGAAAACAAGTCAGTTCTCAATGTGAAAAAAATATGCTGTATAGGCTATTTATGATGACATAGGTAGTACATGAGTGTTCCTTTAACTTATGTTGTCAGTGTAATTGACAGGCTGCTTAACTGGTGTTCTCAGCCCCACAACTCATAATTCAACATATTTTTTCAGGCAGTGATAGGACAGGCAATGATGCAGAGAGCACAGGGAGAGGAGAAACACCAGGTCGAATAGAGAGGACGAGGAGAACGGCTGATGAGAGAACGGAATCATGACAGTGGAGAACCAAAGAGTGGAGAAGAGGAAAGGGGAGGAAATGAAAGAAGACCAACAGAGAATGAAGAAACAGAGAAAGGGGAGACAGAGAAAGATGAAATAGAGGGAGGAGATGAAGAAACAGGTAGTAAGAGAGGAGTAAGAGAAGAAACAGGGGCAGGAGAGATGGAGAGTGGAGAATCTGAATTAGAATCTGAAGTAGAGGGAGAGGAAGAAGAATCTGAGACTGAAGACACAGTGAGAGGAGAAATAGAGAGAAGATGCCACCCACATATCTGGACAGAAAACATAATGCAATATCGCCAGGACAGCCTTACAGAGTCGCGACGCTTTGTGTCGCGTTGCACCGCATCGCGTTGCATCGCGGTGAGGTCTGTATGATCACAAAATTCAGAGTTTACCCACCTCTAATTTTACCACTACAGCACTGCCCCCCTCCCCAACCCCCCCAGCGGAATACGTTGGACTTGAGCTTCAGAATCGGCTCGGGTAACGATCCTCTCCGTGATACAGCCAAAGCAGTTTATGATGGGAAAAGGTTACGGAGATTTGGGGTACAGACGGTCGGGACGTTGTCTGTCGTAAACTTGACGCAAACTCGGTCTGTCGCCCTCTACAGTTTGGGAGGGTGGAGAAGAAGAAGAAGCGAAGAAGTTCAACATTTATTCTTGACCCTGGAAACAGCCGCTGAGAACAAACTCAACCCATTCGTTTTTACTTTGTAACTTAAGATAACCACTGTTAGTACAGCACAATTAACATAAGGTAGGCGGAATAAGTCCCAGAAGTTGTTGTTCTGTTTTTTTTAAATTAAAATCCAGAACATCAGAGACAATGACAAAAACTATGATCAATGAATATGATTAGTATTTTTTCCTTATGTACTGCACGCCCCCTCGATCCGTGGGTTAATACGACCTCCTCCCAAGCATGCATGCAGGTCACGCTGCCACAGCTTGTTTAATCGGATTATTGTGTTGCACGCTATAGCGCATCTTGTTAAATTGAGATGCAGCCATAGAAATAAATGACCTTTTAAACTCAGTTGGTTCTGAATTCCACTGAAAATGACTGAGAAAATGAATGAGATGTTTCCTTGTAGGTCTTGGCTGTCTGCATCGCATTGATCTTTCCATGGGTCTTAACAATTTTTCATAGGACGATTTACTAACTGCTCAGAAGCTTTTAATTGGATTACGATAATGGAGTGTAATGGGATTTACATTTTTCTGAGCACTTGGTACTTATGGTTGTATTTATGTCAGAGGCTGAGGTGCGAAGTTCATTTCCTTCCTGGAAAACAACTATTTGCAAACAACGGTTATTAGCTCATACTATCATTATGCCAACATGGTTCATCATAAAGATTTGGTATGAATATGCTTTAGAACTGCTACTAACTAGACATTGAGATTTTCCTAACATGTCTTTCTTCTGTTTCACAGTAAATCTACACTACAGTAGGCCTTCTGTTGCACAAGGGCCTGTTTAAAACGTGAGCGCAATGAAAAATTAAAGCTATCAATATTTGTACTACATGTATTTTCCAGTAATTATTTTCCAGATTATGCACCTGGTTTGAATTCAAATAGACTTGCATCAATAAATATACTCACTTAAGTAGACAGAAACACTATATATTTTTTATGCTATTTTATTTTGGGCTTGTGTCTATTCTATTTTGTTGTCTTATGTTCTTTGAGTCTCCCGCTGTCGCGTCCATAGCTGTATTGTATTTAAAAACAATACTGTCACAAAAGTGATTTTAATGTTTTAATGATGATGATCATTGAACTACATGCACAATATAAATAATGCCTAAATCCAACACTCCCTGTGTGTCAGGTTTCCTCATTTGAATGTGATCCTGTGCTTTGGACACGGCTTATGTTACAACTTTACACTATTTGCCTTCAGTTGATTCTACGTCATTTTGACAGTGTGGACAAAAGGGGCCATTTCGTTTTACAAAGTTTGCACTTTGAATGTTCATCGCAGGGGTGACATTGGTTATATATGCAATCAAGTTATATGCACATCACAAGTGCACAAATTGATTATTCATTGAATGCTGACTGAAGATTTTATATTTCACCCATAAATCACCATGTATAAGGAAACTCCACTGTGACCAGTATCACTTGCATTACTTTGGCTGACAGGGGTCACAGAGTGATGATAATGATACACTCACATAACAGCACAAGAAGCCTCTAATTAAGCGTTTTTACGCATTTATTTTTTCTAACATGATCATCCAAACTGGCTGACCGTTTTAATTAAATGCATGCCTGTGTCTGTTATCTGTGCATCCTAAATCTCTCAATTGAATCCACAGTTTGTTGTTATTCTCCTGCTGGTGTTCATGACGGAAGTGTCTGTGGTGGTTCTCGGGTACGTTTACAGAGCAAAGGTGAGAAAGTAAAATGCTCACGATCATATTTTTTTTCACAACGCTAACAAGATGTTAACAGATGTTAAGTTTCACACCTCTTAAACCCTCGGTAGGTTGAAAAGGAAGTAAATGTTTCCATCAAGAAAGTGTTCGATGAGTACAATGGCACCAATAGCAATGCCCAGAGCAGTGCCATCGACTACATTTAAAGACAGGTGATGGCAGAAGTTCTGTCTCCTCTGTAAATCAGATATAATGCTGATATTACTCCCTTTTTGTATTTCTGTCAGACCTGACTGATTAAGTAGTTGAGATCTTGATATTTCCTTTTTCCCCCAACAGCTCCAGTGTTGTGGGATCCACAATTACTCATACTGGCAGAATACACGCTGGTATGAACACTCCAAAAACAACAGCGCACCCATCAGCTGTTGCAACAATAACTTTGGAGGCTGCAGATCTCTACCAAGAAGTAATGAGAACTCTAAATGTGTCCTAAACCAAACACTGTTTTTTGGGGTTTTTTAAGAGGAGTGACTGGTGTTTAAACATATTCTGTGTGTGTATGTGTCAAGGTTATTATCGTTAACGAAAACTAACGAAAAAACAAAAACGAGGTGTGATTTTTTTCCCCGTTAAAAATAAAAACGAGCCTTTATAAAAAAACGATAACTAACTAAAACTTTATTGTGTCTTTACAAAACTAACTAAAATAAAATAGAATTATAGAGAACATGTTTTTATTTTCGTCTTTGTCAATGCTATAGAGCAGCGGTTCCCAAACTCAAGAATGCCGCGGCCCACTTTGAAATCTGAAAATCTCACCCAAACCTTTAATCACAACTCTGATCAAAACATAATGATTAAATGACCTTAAGAATTTAACCAAAATTAAACGCCCGCGAGCTAAAGTCTGTCTCACGCGAGCAAAAGTCCGTCTCCGCGAGGTATTTGCTCGCTTGCGAAACGTGAACTTCGTTGCTCGCGAGGAGAATCTCTGCTCGCGCTCGAAGGAGTTTTCTACGCGCTCGCTGTTGTTCTTTTTGACAGAAAGGTGGAGGCGGTGCTTTCAGGGTCCGATCGATGCTGCGAGGTGCGTCCGCTCCCACCGCCCCCCTTGCCATCCACGCTTTAAATCTTCAGCTGCTTTTAGAATAACTTATTTTCCCCGTTAAGATGGTTTAGCTACTGTAGAGAAAAGGGCGCCGTCTCTCGCTCTTTAATCTCATGAAGTGCTCGGCAAGAACGACAGCTTTGAGCTGCTCAGCATCTCGCCGTCGTAGACGAGCTTTGGCATGTTTGACAGAGCGCCTTGAGTGCCATGTACAACCAGTATGGATCATCCGATTAATCGATTGATCCACATATATAAGGCGCTCCGCATTATAAGGCACTGTCGTTTTTTGAGGAAATTAAAGCCTTTTAAGTGCGCCTTGGAGTGCGGAAAATGCGGTATATTTACTTTAATACTACAAGAGGGCGCCGTTTGAGGGCGCCGTTCGGGCAAGAGCCTTATTGTTTTATTAATCTGTTGTTTGTGCTTCATCAACTAATGTTTCACATAACTAATGTACCGCATCATAAATATTTTTATATTAATTTCAAACTTTTAAAAATTGAAAATTAAAAAACTTTATTTATTTATTGTAAATGACCTCTCGCGGCCCACCTGCAGTACCTTCGCGGCCCACACTTTGGGAATCGCTGCTCTAGAGTTTTTATTGGGTTTTAGATTATTTTTTTTTCAGATTGAGCTCTCTGAGACTCCCGGCTCCCAAGCAATGTCATGTGTGGCTCATTAATGGGTTTAGTACATGCTGCCCCACTCTGGTCTGTTACATTCTGCGGTAAAGACTAAAACTAATACTGAAACTAATAAAAACTAAACCAAAACTAAGTATTTTCAAAAAATAAAAAATAAACTAAACTAGCAAACCCGCTTTAAAAACTAATTAAAACTAAACTGAAATTGAAAACAAAAAGTCAAAACTAAATAAAAATAAAAACTAGTGAAAAATTCAAAACTATAATAACCTTGGTGTGTGTGTATAGGGTTGTGAAACTATGGTCATGAAGAAGTTGAAGGAGATCATGATGTATGTCATTTGGACTGCACTGACATTTGCTGCAATCCAGGTATGTACCTGTAATGAAGATAGATTGTTTTGTGTGACATTGCCTGTATTCTGTACAAACTGTATTCTCTTTTTTTAACTAGACGGTCGCCACATTTGCTCTTAATGCAATAGGCAACCAGGTGAAATAATGAAGTTAACGTCAGCAGCCATAGCCTCAGTTTTTATAACAAAGAGATAATTGCTCTATTTTAAAAAATTTAAAATGGCAAATTTAAAATGGCACGGTCTACATACTTTTTCTACATGCTTGAGAAGATTAATGTGTGTCCGATAAATATGATCAGCAAGCTTGGTGAATAGCTTAGCTTAGCATTTAGTATAGTTTAGCAGCCTTCACAGACACATTGTGCACAATCATGCTTTTGAAATTGCATTGTACACCAACTACAGTGAAGCTCCACAAACATTTCTGAGGACTGATGTGGTATGTGTCTGTTTCTCTAGATGCTGGGGATGTTGTGTGCACGTGTCGTGCTGTGCCGCAGGCCCAGAGGTCCCGCCTATGAGCGTCTTATTACAGGAGGCACCTATGCCTAAAAGAGAACACATTTCTCACCACAACACACTTTCAGATTGTGTCTAATTGGTGAGAGCATGAAAATAATATATTACCTCACTAGCAACAACACTAAAGTTCTATATTTGACCTGTTTTTCCAAAAAAAAGCTACAGACCAAATTGTTAAATGGTCAATGTAAAGGAAATACAGAAAACTGATACTTAGGATGGCAAAAGGGCATAAAGGGGCATGTTAAGCGCCTGAGGATGAACTATAACCTCATATGTGGCGTAAAATAACCATGAGATGTTTCTTTGTTAGTTTGCACTGTGTGTATGGCTTTGATCATTTTGTTTTTAAATCTGAAATTTTTATTAAATTAAATTTACCTCCAACAATATTATTTTACTACTATTACAGATTGGTTTTGGTCTGAAGCTCAATTTTCAGCAGAAGGATTCTGTGAAGTAGTAGTTGACACCAAAAAATGCAGAATATCTACCTTAAGTGGCGTCTGCATGTCCAATCTTTCTTTTAAGATTCAAGCTTTTGAATCCCCTTCAGTGTGTGTTTTTTCAAGAAGTAATACATTATTGACTCAAGATAGACTTCCGGTGGTGTTTTGTTTGTTTTTGTCCCAGAAGTCCACTCCTGGGAGTTTAAGCATTTGATTTGCAGATATGTAGCAAGGGTAAGACTAAAAAATGTCAATCAAATTTGGGGGAAGGTTGAAATTAAAAGATTGCACAATTTTATGACAATATGTTACAAAGTGGGTATGTTACATCCCAAAATGTGTTTCTCTTTCTGACTTGATAAAGCTGATATTGAAAAGTCATTAAGAAAGGTGTGAGAGTTCCCATACTCATCAGAATGCTTCGTTCTCTGTCTAATCTTTGTTTTATACCGCTTCTTCTCCAAAGTTACCACGGGCTCAACATGTACCACATGCCTTTTATATATAAGACTTACTGGAAACATTAAATGTTGTATTTTCTTCTGGTATATTTAGTCACCACCATACAACCATTTTTGAGATGCCTACACACTTACAATAGTGCCCGGTGTCATTTCAGCTACTTTCAGAATGGAAACAGTCACCACACAGAAATTATACACAGCTTCATATTAAAAAAACGCAGACATTAAAGAAAGCCACAGTACAGTAATAGACTTAGTGCAGAGACCTTTTGCAGGAGATCACTTAATCTCCCAGTGGTCCGAAATAAGGGCAAAGTAACATGAATGTGTGCCATAACAATAAATAACATTAATAAACTCTCGTGCTATGATATACCCTAACCCATTTTCAAATCCTACTCAAAGGGGCTGTAATGGTGCATGGAAAACATAAGCAAAACAAGCTAAAAACAAGGTCATTTGAGATGGCAAGGCCTGAACAAATGTGACAGAATGAACTGTAGTAGTTCTACTTAATGGCTGTGAGGAAAACTTATGCTTTGGCAAGGTAGGAGCCTGGGACCAATCCAGTTAGACCATTTCTCTTCACCGTCCACCAGCCATCCTCGCCTTCCTCTAAGACGACCACAACGTCGCCGACCGACACAGAGAGCTCATCCTCCCCCTGAGCAAGGACAGAAACATCCCGTCAACAGTCGTCACTTGAAAGGGAAAAGGATTTGAACATTTAAATGCGCCTCATGTAGCGGCTGACCTTTGCCACATATTCGTAGACGACCATGTAGCCGTCACTGCTCAGCCGGGACCCCTCAAATCCAGGAATGGCAGCGTAGACTCCGTCTGAGGGTTCTGCTGGGGAGTTGACAGGATGTCAGACACAATCATTTCCTGTGTGATACCATTTGTAACTAGCCACCCCCCAAAATAGCGAAGGTGGTCCCTCCCGTTTTTTCACACCTGAAGAACATTGATACTTTTCTCCGGACCCCTAGTTGCGTTTCGCCATGGTGACAAATAATAATCACAGTATGTATCTCACAGTTGCTCTGCCGCATGTGCAGAAAGGCTTGATGTGTCTTTCACAGTCATTTCTCTCATCGGTAATTTGGTACTTTACCAGGTTGTGCGACTTGTTCATTGATGCTGTATTTTGAGCCACTGGACGACTGCAGAAGATTTGAAAACCTACAAATTGGGAAATAATGCAATAAAGAGATAAACAAAAAGAAGAAATATTCTTTTCAAATTTTACTTTATATTGTGTATTTCTGACCTTTTCATCACTCCTCCTACAAATCCACAACTGCCGTTTCTGTTTTCTCCGGCATCCGTTTCATAGTAATTTTGGTATTCGATTGGAGCTGTGGAAGAACCATTGGAATGAAGTAAATAAAAAACACAACCACTCACCTGCTTCTGAAACAATCAAACATTTTGTTGTGTGTTTTAGCAGAATTTGAGAGACAGTATTACAATTTCCACCTTGGAACATATTGAAATCCAAATCAGAAAAGGCCGCAGGGCAGTTGCTTACCCGGGGGGGCGGAGCCAGTGCTTTTCAACTCCACAAAGCTGTTAATGTCTGTGATGATGTTGCAATTTTCTAGCGTTTTCCTCACAGCCTCGTAACACTGAAAGAGAAGTTTGCGCTGTGAATAAACACTTTACTGCTTTCTGTAAATCTATGACATACATATGTGTGAGAGCAGCTGCACACACCTCATCATCCTTAACACTCTGCATTGATAAATGGTTACAATGCACCCACAGGGCATTCCGTAATACGCTGAGGCGGTCTTCTTCCTGCAGCTGAAAAATCTGCAAAACGAAATGATCAGAACGTGTATAAATAATCTAGCAAACATTGAAGCACGGTGCATTTACAACACTGAAATATACTGTTGCAACAACCTCTTCAAACAACTCAAGCATCCAGCATGGATTCTAGTCCCTGTGTTATCTGTCAACTCAGGCCATTTGAGTGCTTTCTTCCTTGTTTTTTTTATTGGTTTATTTGATTCTGTGTTTTTAAAATGCCACCGACCTTTTTGTTTTCCCATCTAGAAAGGTTCTGCGCAAAAAGTTTGCAGATTAATGAGTAACTTTATAGTTTGTTGACAGGAAGTTTCATACATCCTCATTGACGGACATTTGATATTGCCACTCTTGGTCTAAGTCTGTACATTCTTAAATGCAGCGTGCTGTAATTGTACATTCCTACCGTGACAAATCCACGTCTGGTGATTTACCTCGCATGTGTTGATGTGTGTCAATTCCCACTCTTGACGAGTCTTGTCAAGCTGTTGGATGTTCAGCCTGTATTGTTTCTCTAAAGAAAAAAATGAAGAATTACTCAAAACAAATGTTTGTTGTGTTCTTCCTCCATGAAATGACAAAATGCAGCATCTCGCTGCTGTTATCTGTCCTTACCAGCCTCCTCTGCGGCTTCTCTGCACTGTTTAGATTTGTTGTTCATCTGAAGAAAATATTGCAAAATAAATATTGCAAAATTAGGCAAGATGTTACCTGTAAACCTTTAGTTATCCAAGTAACTTACTACGTAGGTGCTTTGAAATCATCTTCTTTCTTTTTTTACGTTTTAAATGGGAACAGGAAGTCTCTTGAGTTCCCTCATCTCTGGCTGCAATCCGTTCTAAATACATCATCTTCTACATGATAAAAGTATTTCCAATGAATATCTAAGGTAGCATTTGTTAATAACACACGTTATTTGTGAGGTGCACAGTACATTTTCAGATACCAATTGCAGTTATGGTAGACAAAAAGCACACTGAAAAGGTCAGTCCAAACTAGAGTAACTACCCTTTTCTCATTTCTTGTCTTGAAACCGAAAAACATTTTACAAACACAAAACCGCAAATGTTTACAGTGTTTTAAAAGGAGGGACATGGCCTTTTTGTTAGAAGTCCAAAGACTGAATCGTTATAGTTATATCCACCGTGCAGGAGCGGATCTACAGAGGGGAAAGTGGGGGCAGCTGCCCCCCCCCCACTCTAGAGCCCTGCCCCCCCAGCTGCCCCCCTAACTTTGATGAACCAAAAAATAAAAAATCAACCCACCATTATGTCCACACAAGCTTCTCAAAACAGTGAACTAAACAATACATTTACCACATTTACAAGTGAACAATTTAATTACCAGCCCCCCCCTCAAATTACGTCCCTGATTCAAACAGCGAGTTTGCTGCGGAAGGTGCGCTGGTCCTGCAACCCGACTGGAGAGACTGAGCTGTTCAGAGCCTCTGAAGGTGAAGTGAGTTTCATCAGGTGTAGTTTAAACATAAGTTTAACTTAGTTACACTTGTAATGAATGCATTGTATTAAAGACGATTCAGCATCAGCAAAAACAGTGAGTCTATTAGGTTAGCCAAAATCAGTGGTCATAAGCTATCGGTCCCCACTCCCTTGTGATTTGTAAGAGCACCCTTCCCTTTGATTGGCCTAATTTTGATTTTAGTAAAGACAAGAACAGCCATTTTTTGAGAATGTGCTAGTTAAAAGGGTACGTGGTCGCATTTGTATTGTGCCGCACAATACACAGCCTCCTAAGTCAATGACGCGCGAAAAACTCCCGGTTGTGTGCGCGGGTGCCGGGTGGCCAGAGCGGAGCATGGGAGGTGAGAGCTGTCCTATGTGTTAAAATGAGCAGTGAGGCTGGCACTGCAAAGAAAAAAATATTGTGCAATTACAAAACGGACTGGGAAGTGTAGGATATTAGAAACAAATATACGACCCGGTTCATAAAATTAATAAAATGCATATAGTGTACACCAGAATACAGCAATGATTCTGAAACTGTGTAATCAATAAAGTAATGACAATATTGTAAAACCACTGTAATTCTGCAACTGTAATAGAATAATACTAATGTACAGTTATGATTGTATTTTATGTAATGTAATCAACTGGAATGCATGCATGTAATACTTGCGCAACAACTGATATTGACTAAGGGTCATTCGAAATCCGAGTTACATTGAACTCACCAGACGACCACTCCCAGAGGTGTTGACACTAACTTTCACACCTTTAAGCATTGTTATAAATACCTGTAGGGCAACAATTGTTCTCAAGTTCACTGGTGGAGGTGACAAACGGGCACTAGAGATGGTCAAAAGGACTGAACTGGGGCCTGTTGGTTGCTGAGACCAGCGGCTCCTCAGCTGAGATGTTCTTTTTACCACAACGCAGTCTCTTTTATTAAATACATTTGATTTTAACCTTTTGATCTGCGATGACCTCTGTCCGGCGTTTCTTCACTTTTGAATACAACAGAAGCCAAAAGGCCATGGGTGAAAGCAGTTACCGACAACGCAAAGAAAGCGTTTTGTACTGTCCAGGGCTGTAGTGGAGGGTAAACGCACGTAAACGCCGTTTACGCACCTCTGGAATTTTGTAAATAGCGTTTACGCACCTCTAAATGGCGTTTACGCACCTCAAAGTTCCCTGCGCCTTGTATTCTTCCGTTGGAATAATCCAAAATAAACTTGGTGTAATTTTAAAACAGCTAAGACTATGTTTCCTATTGTTGAACATATAAACGCCGTAGTCTGAATCATTTTCATCTGCGCTGTATTATGGTCTGTGAGCTTCCAATCAGTGCCTTGCGGCTGCAGCAGCGACACCAATCAGGATCCAGGAGGTGTGTAAACACACGTTGTGGATCAGCCTGCCTGTCTACCTGTTCGGAATGTGTAATATTTGTGTGCGTGCACTGACATTTAATTGTCTAAGTACGACACGTACCAGCGAGTTTCTTTTAGTCGGCGCTGTATGCGTCCATCTTTATTAGTGCATATTTACTTCTGCGCATAAACGCGCACCTTGATGACCTCATCACAACATGACAGACATTTGAACCGGAAGTATCCAAGATACTACAGAATGGATTACCGCCGGTAATTAGCAATGGATATCAGGCGATATTTGAAGAGACCATCGAGTGCTCCCACTCCCACAGATGCCCGCAAAAGGCCTCGTTTTTAAACGTTGTTTTGATTCGCACAACATCGCATTAAGAAAGGGACAAACGCTATTAATAACGTGCTTTAAAATACGATGATGCAGGTAACAAGCCAGCCGTCCCGGTCCCATCTAAATAGGCCTAATAAAATGAGTAATTATCCTCACGCATATTGCTGCAGATTAGGCTAATTCATTGAAAAATTGTCAACAGATTATGTGCAAGCCAGTTAGACATAGCTAAGAGAAATGCTAAGTGAAATGTTTGAGTTTAGCTATAGAATCTTCAATTTTCGCGGTCAAAGTCAAATATATTAGTTTTTTACTTTCATCATGTCCTGCTCTCATAGAAAACGTGAGCGGAGAGCAAAGCTGTTACTTCACTGAATAGGCCTATATGCTTAATCAATTATTTGAAGTCATGAAAGGTGTAGAGTAGCCTGTAAGCGAAATACACTGTAAACATAGATTATTTGAAAACAAGTCGGTTCTCAATGTGAAAAAAATATGCTGTATAGGCTATTTATGATGACATAGGTAGTAAATGAGTGTTCCTTTAACTTATGTTGTCAGTGTAATTGACAGGCTGCTTAACCGGTGTTCTCAGCCCCACAACTCTTAAATTCAACATATTTTTTTAGGCAGGACAGGCAATGATGCAGAGAGCACAGGGAGAGGAGAAACATCAGGTCGAATAGAGAGAGGAGAACGGCTGATGAGAGAACGAAATCATGACAGTGGAGAACCAAAGAGTGGAGAAGAGGAAAGGGGAGGAAATGAAAGAAGACCAACAGAGAATGAAGAAACAGAGAAAGGGGAGACAGAGAAAGATGAAATAGAGGGGGGAGATGAAGTAACAGGTAGTAAGAGAGGAGTAAGAGAAGGAACAGGGGCAGGAGAGATGGAGAGTGGAGAATCTGAATTAGAATCTGAAGTAGAGGGAGATACAGAGGAAGGAGAATCTGAGACTGAAGACACAGTAAGAGGAGAAAATAGAGAGCAGATGCCACCCACATATCTGGACAGAAAACATAATGCAATATAGCCAGGACAGCCTTACAGAGTCGCGACGCTTTGTGTCGCGTTGCATCGCGGTGAGGTCTGTATGATCACAAAATTCAGAGTTTACCCACCTCTAATTTTACCACTACAGCACTGCTACTGTCTGTCGCCGCATAGACATTAACTGAGTGAAGTAGCTCCGGCTACAGTGTTCTTCCGCAACACTTGCGCATTGTGCACACACAGACAGCAGCATGCCAAAATACAGTTCTCTTTCTTGCTTGAACTTACAATAACACACACACATTATGCCCAAATGTCCATTTGTTGAGTATGTTTTTCATAACATAAGAGCAGCAGTCTCACGATGAACGTGAAGCGTTGTGACAGAATGAGGCGCGTGTGAGATCTGCGTCTATGTCAGCTGTTCTTAAAGAGACCTCAGCCACTTAAGCTTTCTGTCAGTAAAGCTAATCAAAGAACAAAAACAACAGAGAACATTTCTCACTGCTCTCGACTAAAGAACTTTTGTAGCTTAAATAATGATTAGTCTATATTTAATGAATAATGTATGCACTGCAGGCTGTTTGATCACTTTATTCAATTTTGATATGTCCGAGGCCCCCTGTTAGACAGTAAGGGCTCAGGTATACATGACTTCTTCTTTTTTTTTTACTATTATACTCTTGTGACAAAGTAATAAGTCTGCAGTAATGTTAAGATGTAAATATTTAATTTTGTAAAAAATATTATTTTAATTTGAAAACAGTGCTTTTTACATATTGACTTTTGCAGGCAAGCAAGAGTAGTTGAGGAAAGTAGCTGGAGCCTAACTATGAAAAGAAAGGCTAAAAGTGAGGATATTGACAGCTTTTTTTCTAAAAGAATTCCAAGAAGTACACAGGAGGAAGAGTGTGAGGAAAATGAAGGAGAAGTCAGTAAACTGGAGAGACCAGGAGGGTCAGAGCAGCAGAAGACAGAAGAAGACAAGGGAATACGTGATGGAGAAGAGGAAGTAAGTGAAGGAGATGAGGAAATAATTGAAAGAGATGAGGAAATAAGTGAAGGAGATGAGGAAAAAGAAGAATCAGTGAGGGATGAAGAGGAGGCTCCAGAGTCAGAGAGAGGGACAGAGGCAGGGAGTGATCAGGAGGAGGAAAATGACATAGAAGAAGAGGGTAGACCTGAAATTCCTCCTGGACCACATGGTATGTTTTGATTCTTCTTCCATATAAATTGCTGTACAGTAGGATATGTAATGACACTTATATGCATTGGCTATGGCCAAGTACTGTTCAATTGCAGAAGATAATTATATTTGGCACTCTCCTTTCTTTTTTAAGATATATCAAAATGCAAAAGTGATGCAGCAGTGCAGCCTGATTTAAAGACATTCCCAAAGACACAACATGGAGCAGCAAAAAGAAGTTTACACACAAAGTGGTACAGTTCTCGGCCATGGCTTGAATATTCCATGTCTAAACATGCAGCATACTGCTTTGCATGCAGACATTTTACACATTTAAAAAACGTGTGTTCACATTAGAAAATGGCTATTCTGACTGAAAGAAGGCCACTTCCAAAAATAGTGGGTTTTGTGTACATGCCAGATCAGACACACATGTGAATGCGTTCATGGAGTGAGTTCCAAAGAATGGCCATGAAAAATACAACTGTCTTGTATCTGTCTGGAGATGAAAATCGGAAACAAGTAATCGAAAATCAAAAGTACATCAAAACTTTGGCTGAAACCTTGTTGTTAACAGCCACTCAGAATATTTCCCAACGTGGCCATGATGAATCGGAAAACTCAAAAAACAGGGGAAATTTCCTTGAGATTTTAGATCTTGTGAGTAAACATGATGCCTTAGTGAAAAAACGGCTGTCACAGGGACCCAGAAATGCTAAATACACAAGCAAAAGCACTCAAAATGAGATTTTGGAGTGTTTAGCAGAAATGGTGAGAGAGGAAATTATAAACGATGTTAAAGAAAGTGAGCACTTCTCTATTTTAGCAGATGAGACTAAAGACATTCAAAAAAAGGAACAGCTGTCTCTGGTCGTAAGATATTATTATAATGGTGTGGTTCAGGAGAGCTTCCTTGAGTACCAGAAAACAGAGCACTTAGATGCAGCCGGTTTGACAGAGAAACTTATTTCATGTTTGGAAAAGTATGGACTGGAATACAGAGAGAATCTGGTGGGCCAAGGCTATGACGGGGCTGCTGTCATGAGTGGCAGGTGCTCTGGGGTCCAAGCAAGGGTTAAGGAAGTTGCCAAATATACATTTTATGTTCACTGCAGGGCACACTGCTTAGATCTTGTCATTGTGGACAGTGTAAAAAATGCCCCAGAAGCTGCATGTTTTTTCACTTTGCTGGAAAGACTGTACACATTCATGTCAGGCTCATATGTTCACATTAAGTGGATGGATGTTCAAAAAGAAATGTTTAGTGGTGGGGCACCACGAGAACTTCCCAGGCTTAGTGAAACTAGATGGGCATGTCATTATGCTGCATGTAGAAACCTTATGGACAGGCTGCCTGCAGTAATAAGAGTGCTAGATGAAATTTCAGATGAGGCCAATCCACAAAGAGCTGTACGCAAGAGGACTACGTTCTCATATTGATTTTAATTTCATAGGGCTCCTTGCAGTCTTCAAAAAAGTGCTTGGTGAAACCAAGTTTTTATCTGAGATGCTCCAGTCAACTAATGTGGACCTTACCAAAGCAGTTGACCTTACTGAAACCCTCAGACAGACATTGGAAGATTATCGCAAAGAGGAGAGCTTTAATGACATGTGGAGTACAGCAATTGACACATGTAATCGTTGCAACATTTCTACCATTGTCAAATCAAAAATAACCAAACACACATCTAGGAGACTACATGATACTCTTGTAACATCTAGACTTGGGCAGCAAACACATGTTGACAGCAAAGATGCCTTTAGAATAGGTATATTCATTCCCATCATAGACTCAATGAGCAGTGAAGTGGACAGGCGCTTTTCAAACTTGAGCAGTAAGATAATGAGGGGTATACAAGCTTTAAATCCATCAAACAATGACTTCTTAAAAGAAGAATTGGTTTTGTTAGTGGCTGAGGAATACGGCTCTGACTTGCAAGACTTGAAAACTGAGATACACCAGGCAAAAAGACTTCTTGAAAGAAACAGATCAAATGGCAGAGTAAACCCGTCCAGTTTGACTGAGTTTGTGACGTTCTTGGTGCCTTTTAAAGAGGTCTTCTTTGAGCTTTTTCGCCCGTGCAAGATCGCCATTGTTTTGCCAGTGAGTACTGCTGGGTGTGAGCGAAGCTTTTCAACTTTAAAGCTTGTAAAAACTCACCTGTGCTCAACCATGGCAGATGACCGTCTGAGAAATCTGGCTGTTCTCAGTATAGAGAAACAGCGTGCAAAAGCACTAGATTTAGATGCGTTTGTGAAACGTTTTGCTGCAAAACACAACAATCGTCGCCTTAAACTTTCATAAAACTGGGTGGTCATGGGTCATTTGTGTACGCTAATTATACGTTTTTAATTATTGTCCGCTGTTTTACACTTGTAGACCACTGTATCTTGGACACAACTATTGTACTTTTTTTACGTTTTCATTTTGCTTTTTTTACTTTTTAAAAAATGCAGCTTTGTTTTGTTTGAACAATGTTTAATTCATGTTGTGAATAAAAACCTTAAGTTTAAAAGTGTTTTTGTGTTTGTTGTGTTAAAGCAATTCACATATAGGGATTCCTATGCACCGTCATCCCTGCCGCCCTGTCAAGACCTCTTGCCACCCCTTTGCCCCCCCATGTAAAATTTTCTAGATCCGCCACTGCCACCGTGGTACTCATGCTGATAAGTGAGCATCTACCTCTGTCCTCATTCTGCTGCAGCACACTGTGTGCTACTTTGGCCGGCTGTATGGATACATGCTTAGGCCCTTTCCTGCTTGCGGTTATGCATACTTTCCCCAAACATATTTTATTGCCTGTTTCACAGTAACTGAATGCTGACTCCTTGCTTATTTTTCTATTCCTAGATTTTCCAGGAAGGAACTAAATGTTACAAACGATTGTGTAAATAAGGAATTGAAAATATTGTAGTAGAACCTTTTTTCAGTGCAGCAAATCTTAAAACACGGCCCGGTGAGGACCATTAAAGATTCATTGGTAGGATCTTTATGTGAGCAGATTTCTACTCTGGACCTTTAATGAGTGACACTGCGGTACAGATCTACCTTCACGGCCCGTTTGGGAGTGGCTGTGGGAGCGTTGGCCATCTTCTCGCCGTTTTGCTCTGCCTCATCTGCCTCTCTGCAACGCTGCTCATAGGATTTTTTAGACTAGAAGTAAAGAGAACAGAAACCATTTGAGACAATAACACCCGGGCTTTGTCATCGCTACTTTGACAGGAAGGAGGCCTGGGGGGTTCAGTCAAGACAGAAATGCAATGTATCGGAAGTCACATCAATTTGTCGTAAGACCTGAATTCCTTCTTCTGATTGGTAAAGGATATATGCTTACTGTGTGATGCACAGCGAGTTATTACTGACATCGACCAGTCTTGCAAAATCATCTTCCTCTTATGTATAACTTAAATATAGACGGCCATACTCCTCCCTCCGCTGAAGCCCTTTCAGAAGCACTTGTCTTGCATTTACGAGCAGCTTGTAGCTGCACTAAAACTACTCCTATATACAGTTTACTTGTGCAACAATTATATAAAGAGGGAGCTGAAATCTCCATATAACTGTAATTTCCAAGGTCCTGAACACACATGAGGTCTAATATTCATAGATCATCATGATAATATGAATTGTCCTTACATCTATTGTTTTCTTAAAGAGAGAGACTTTTGTCCTCTGGACCTTCTCCATGATGACTTCAAACTAAGTGAGAGAACACACTGTTAAAAAAAATACCAACGTCAACAGAAAACCACAAGCAACTATTTTTCGATTTCCTGCGCAAAAAAAAAATTTTGCTGGTACCTTTTTTCTCTGTTCTTTCTGTCGCTCTCTGAAGTCCTCCATTCTCTTCACTTCCTCCTTGAGAGATGCAGATAACTGAATGTGCAAGTGTCCTACTTTTTCAATTTCTGAAAGACCAAAATGTAAAGAGTTTTTTTTTCACCTATGAAGTGCACACAAACACAGAATGGAGGAAAATATATCCAGTGCTTACGTGCTTTCATTTCATCAAAAGATGTTCTTATAGTGCTGTGGAAACAAACTGAATAATAAATGAAGTCCATGCGGTGCAGAACAGATGTATTGAGAGGAGGCAGACATCGACGCGATGAGGGCATATCTGCTCAAATGCACACACATACCTACCTGGTCTCATATAGTCCCCCAACCTTGCGTGCAATGGTAACAAGTTCCTTGCCGTATTTCTCATCTGCCGATGCCCTGAATGAACAATACCACAACAGAACGTAACCACATTACACCGATGTCACTTTCATAATTCATCAAGTCCATTACATCGGTGATGCAGGAAGCATTGTCGCTGAAGTGTGAGATCTCACCTCATCTTCAAGAGCTCTTCCATGTCCTTGCATGTCCGTCGACCATCATTTAGTCTCTGACTGATAGTCTCGTACCCTGCGTTGCTGATAAAGTCCACTGCCTAGAACCGTAAACACAAGACTATCTTACTCATTCGGTCACTGACAAGGATACCTAAAGCCAACCGCTGTTGAATTATATTTTCACACAGAGGTGATAGTTTCTGTATCATGAAAAGAAAGTGACGTGCTGTTGCTATGGGCAGGATGCAAAGCAAACAAACAGCAGACAAATTACAAAAGTATTTTAACTTGAAATCAAGTACGAGTACACTAACTGGTGTAAAAATCTCTAATGTTTATTTATTTACTGACTGACCAGCTCCTTTGCTTACAGTTATGATATAGAGACTCTTACAGAGTTTCATGAACGTCTTGGTCTGTTAACAGGTGCTGCTCACTGTTCTGAAAGGGGAGTGCCAAAGACCAAAGGGACCAATAGGGAGAGGACATTACTACAAGAAAACCCCAATAACTCCACAACAACACATTGTTAATGTCAAAGCGCTATTTTTAAAGGTTGCTCTGAATAGTGGTTTGGTTTGTACGGCCGACCAGTTTTCCGATAGAAACTGTACACAACCCAGAGATAAGTAAACAATGCACCGCATACGTAACCGAATGTGAATGTTTTAATCTAAGTGACAATTCAGTGAGTTTCAAAATAAGGAAAAGGAAATAAATCCGAGCAAATCAGATATCGGAAGACAGAGTGTTTAGGTAACGGTAGTGAAATACATGCATTGCACAAAACCATTTAAATTCATACGGCGGGAGCTCTGGTAGCCTGCTCTCCACATACAATGAGAAGCATACGTTCAGTAGAAGTGGAAAGGGTACACAACCTAAATCACCTAAAACCTCCAGTGAACCGAGTACAAAACCGACTTTATGGTAAGAAGAAAAAAAACAATATTAAAAAGTATTGATTAGTAGCATCACACAAACTCACCCAAAAGGCATCTTTAAATAGTAATGCCATCTTGTCAGTGTCCACGGTTGACAAACTACTCAAATATAAGACCTGCGGTGTTAACGGGCTGTTACTTGATGCAAGTGAAACGGATCATGACACATTCAGGAAACAGCCGCCAGCAGCAACACTCACTTTATTCAAATGAGGAAGAGCCTCAACGTGTCAGTAGTTAACGCCATAGAACTGGTACTTGTGTCGGGTCACTTCTGCCACGAGTGAGAGGAAATCTCAGGATAACTCAGTAACAGCTCAACATTTCTTGTCTTTATAAAGCGGTACAATCACATTACTAGTCGAGAGTGGAACAAAACAACCGGAAGGGATCACAATAATATGCAATCTGACGTAAAAACGCTTCAACACATACAACTTTTGGAAGTTTCTGGTGTCGGGGGTCTTGATGAAACCACGGTCATTTAAGAGTTGTGCAACTTGTGCATGGCGGTGTCAGGGCTCCAACTCAATCCTACCCTTTCTCAACATACCCGGACTTCCCCGTGACATTTTCATTAAGGATCCAGCTGCTGTAAGATAAACTAATATGCTTCCCTCCCTGGAGGTCTCATTTAAAATGAGCTAATCTATACCTTTAACTAAAAAATAAGCTACATTACCACAATCTGCCTTTGCTATCACGTGACATGACATCGGTGTGTGTTCACAGTGTTTGCACTAAATCATACTATGATTTTGAAAATAATAAAGCGGTTTCAGGTGGCAATAAATGATTTGTTTTGAGGAACTGTGACAGATAGACTGGTTGTTCTCAAATTATAGGGAAACAGCAGAATTTTGCATGACATTTGCCTTTTTGGGGGGATGTGAACAGTGTGCTGTATTATGCTGGTGTTGTCATATATCATATTATCTTTCCAGGTAATTTTCTACGTCAACCATCAGTTAGTCACCACATAAATCCGGTGAAAGCAACAAATCACACTACTGTAGATACTGTAGATCCTCGTGGACACAAATGAGAAAGCACGAAGTTTAATTAGAGTTCATCATGTGACGCATGCAGCTGTCTCCCATAGTCCGTGACTTCACTGTTCATGAACGCTTCTTGATTCTTCAATACTTCGGCCACTGAGATCTTCCCGTCTCCATCGTGGTCCATCTCTTGGATGAGGTGAAGAGCCTTTTAATAACACGAGAGCAAAACCAACAAAAGAAATCATTCCATCCACATGAAATAGACACAATCCCACCGAGCCGTACAAATACATTATGGCAACTGAAATCCAGGAGGAGGTTGGAGCAGTTGGGTACCTCTTCTCTTGCCGAGCCGTAGCTGTTAGGTGCAACCCAGCGGAGCTGCTCGTCTCGATTCAACACACCATCTTTATCTTGATCGTTGTACTGGCAATCTTAGGTTTGCTGCCCCTTTAACTGGCTCGTTGTTGTTCTTTGCCATCAGGCACAGGTGGGAGTGATGTTTCGACGCAGACACACAAAAGACTTTCCAGCGATGGTTGTGGTTTATTTATTGCAGGCAATTGTATAAACAGATGAACATACCGGTTGAACGTGCTCCTATTGATGGTGGTCTGTCTTCGTGGTCTGGTGAAAACTGTCTGGTGCTCCCCTACCTGTCCCTCGCTTCCTGTCACCTACGTCCCTTATGTACACCCATGTGCACCTAATCACCGCCACCTAGTGTCCAAAGTGTCAATACTAATACAGTCTAACAAACAAAATATACGTTGCCAACAACAACAACACATAATGGCCCCTACACACCGGCCCCTAATTGTCTTTTATAACAATTACCAAAAAATAATAAGGGAATGTGTTGGCAATTAATCCTCTTCAGTGATTCTTCAGTCTTCCTTTTTCAAGTAGTCATTTTTGGGGCCGGGGCTCCAAAACATGGCACCTGGTGGTATCTGGTCCTTACCACCAGGCCTTACTAAATCTCAGTTTCTTTAATCAGACATATCTTCGTTATTGGTCTTTCCAATATGTTATTTTTTGTCTGAAGTCGGACGGTACGCACAAGGCCTTGTGCATCTGCTTTCGTCTCCAGTATTCTACCCATTAACCAGGAGCCTCGTGGTGCAGTGGAGTCGACCACCACAACTATGTCACCTGGGGCGAAGTTCCTTTTTACCTTTGACCACCGCTGTCCTTCTTGGATTAATGGTAAGTACTCCTGTGTCCACCTTTTCCAGAAGAGATCTGCCATGTATTGTACTTGTCTCCATCTGCGCCTTAGATACAAGTCCTCTCTTACGAAGAGTCCAGGTGGTAGTATCGGCTTTGTTTTCAACAGGAGGAGGTGGTTTGGGGTGAGTGCTTCCAGGTCCATTGGGTCCTCTGAGAGCTTGGTAATGGGTCGATCATTTAGAATTGCTTCAACTTCACAAATTAAAGTTTGCAATCCTTCATCATCCAGAACCTGTTGGCTAAGAACAGAGTGCAAGCACGTTTCGGACCATGCGGATCAAACGCTCCCATACACCGCCGTGATGAGATCCTGCTGGGGGGTTAAAGTGCCATTTAATTCCCTTCTGAAGCTTAGCCGTCTGGATTTTGTCCTGATTCAAGGCATTGAGTGCTTCTCTCAATTCTCTTTCAGCTCCAACAAAGTTTGTTGCTGTTACGTCCCCTGTTCTGTGTATAGGTATGTGTTCTGTTTCGTGTGTGTGTGTGTGTGTTCATACAGGTGGTACTGATCATCCATGATCTCCATTCATCTTGGCTCCATCCCCGCTCGTTACCCGGTTTAGCTGTTTCCACTCATCTCCAATCTCATCATGCCCTTCTGTCGGTATATTGCTGCAGAGTTAGCTTTGATAATCCAGTACTTTTTACGGAGTCGGGACAGCATATGATTTCTTCCCCCATGGCCAATTTGTTCGTGTATATGTCGTAGCAATAGTGTGGATACGTGCAGGTCTTTCGAGAGAATCATTGGGTGCTTGGCCTCTTCAGGCATCGCTAGTCTACTCAGGCGACCACCGACTCTCAGAAGTCCATCGTCCAACACCGGGTCCAGCTTGTACAGATGACTGCTTCTTTTAACGCCATTTTTACCAGCCCCTAGTGTGGATAGTTCCTCTTCAAAGCTTTGCCTTTGACTGAAAGAGATAACAGCACGTTCTGCATGCATCAGGTCCTCGGGATTTAAACACTGTCTTTGGAGTGTTGCTTTAAAGGTGTGCATTTCCTTTAGTTGGCTGGCCTCGTTTTTTAAGATACTCACAGCGGTCTGGATCTCCTTTCTTTTTCTAGTCAGCAGTAAGAGAGTTGTTTTTACTTTAAGTAGCCACGCTACACCTGTTATTAGACTTTTCCAGGAAGAGAAATAACTCATCAAAGAGCTGGTGGGGTTCAATGGACCTTTCACAATGAGGTTACTTGTAATGTCTTGTTTGACTTCTGGATCATTGACAGAGATTGTGGTTTCCAAAAAAGGTTTCTGCCATTCTTTTTCTGGTTGATAGAGAGACTCTGGTCCTTTGATCCATCTCCTGCAGCTTAAGAAGCGGTTTGCCGTTAGTCCTCTAGAGGCTTCATCTGCCGGATTTTCCTTTGTGCTAACATATCTCCATTGTGACACGTCGGTAGCGTCCCTTACGAAGGAGATTCTATTTGCTACGAAGGTTCGGAAACGTTTTGTTTCGTTGGTGATGTATTTCAGCACTGTTGTGCTATCCGTCCAGAAGGTGGATTTGTTCAGCTGAAGCTGTAATTCTCTCCGAAGCATTATATCAACTTTGACAGCTAGAACTGCAGAAGTGAGTTCGAATCTGGGAATCGTTACTTGCTTTAATGGTGCTACTCTTGCTTTCCCTATCATGAAGGCAATGTGCACCTCCCTTTCGCTGTTTTCCAGTCGAAGATATGAAACTGTACCATATCCACTTTCGCTGGCGTCTGAAAAGTGGTGTAACTGTGCATGTCCAATTTGACCAAAGTTTGTGGGCTTCATGCAACGGTCCACTTTTAACTCTGTCATGTTGTTTAAATCTGTCAGCCATTGTGTCCATTGTTGAGAAATGGTTTGCGGTATGTTTTCCTCCCATCCAAGGTGTTTTCTACAGAGTTCCTGCATAACCAGTTTGGCTGGCAGAACAAATGGCGGCAGGAATCCCAAAGGGTCGTATACAGAGCCAACCACGGACAGGATGCCGCATCTGGTGTATGCTCGTGAGGGTGCAGTCATTCTGAACTTGAACACGTCTGTCTTAACGCACCAGTGCAATCCTAGTGCTCTTTCCGTCGGCAGGTTGTCCTTGTCCAAGTCCAACTCTTTTATTTCCTTAGTTCGGTTTTCTTGTGGAATGGATGCCAATACCTTACGGCTGTTGCTGATCCACTTAGACAGTATGAATCCTCCCTTCTGGCAGAGAGTGGTCAGGTCTCTTACCATAAGAACAGCGCCCTGTTCTGTGGACATGGATTTCAAACAATCATCTACGTAAAAGTTGTTTTTTACGGTGTCTATAACCTCTGCTGGAAAGTGAGTTTGGTTATCTTCAGCGGTCTTTCTTAGTGCAAAATTTGCACAACTCGCCGATGACACTGCTCCAAAGAGGTGTACTTTCATCCGATATTCCACTTTGACTTGACTATTGACTACTTCCATCGCAAGTAGTCAATATGGTTGTCTGACACTTTGACCTGGTGAAACATTGCTTTGATGTCAGCCATCAGGGCAACAGGCTCTTGTCTGAATCTGAGGAGTACTCCTATAAGTGAGTTGGTAAGATCTGGACCCTGTAGCAATTGTTCATTGAGCGATGTTCCCTTGAAGCCAGCGCCGCAGTTGAAGACCACTCTCAAGGTTCCTTTCCTCGGGTGATACACCCGTGATGTACCAGAGTTTCCCATCAGTACGATTCAGTTGATCCTCTGGTATCCTTTCCGCATAGTCGTTGTTAACCATTTCTTTGAGAAAAGTTGTATATTCTTCGCGAAACATCTCCTTTTTAACAAACTTGCGTTTCAGGCTTTGGATGCGTTCCTCTGCTATGCAACGGTTGCTTGGCATGCGGGGATTATCTTGCTTGAAAGGCAAGTCTATGCAATAGTGACCATCTGTAATTTTTGATGAGTGATTCACGATATCCAGGAATTTTATCTCTTTTCTGGACATTTCCTCTGTTTCCTTGCTGCTTTCTTCATTGTAGTCGTGATTGTATTGTTTAACCAGTAGCTCCTCTAAGTTCATGATGGACAGTCGGTTGACAGCAGCAGCAGGGCAGCCATTCTCATCCCTGCTGTTGTCTCCTCTCAAAAGACCATATATGACCCACCCCAATAGGGTCCTAACAGCGTATGGTCCATTGGCCTGGCTATTGACCACCTCCCAAGGTTCCAATGCCTTAGAAGCATTTGTGCCTATGAGCAGGTCAATGCCAGAATCTATTTCATGAATCTTGACGTCCTTCAAGTAAGGCCATTGCATCAGGTCTTCTTGTCTGGGAATGTAAAGCTTGGAAACAGGCATGATCTTATGTGTAAATACATTGGGCAGTTGTATGAAATCAGTTTTGTCCAGACTTGATATCTCTAAACCTGGGATATGATGACTAATCACAGGTTTCACTTGGTTCATTGTACGCAAAATACTAGTCTTTTGTCCCTTTACATTCAGTCTTCTCATCAGGCTTTCTGTGCAGAAGGTGGCTGAGCTACCATGGTCCAAAAACGCATACATCTGCAACACAGTGTCTCCATTGGGGGTCTTTACTTGTACTGGAACAATAGAGAAGAGACAGGCTATTTCACCGGCCCCAATATGCCCACATGTATGAGGTGAGAGAACAGCATTGCTCCCAATTGATTTTCCATCCAATTCTGTTTTCCTTCCTATGTCTCTTTGTTCAATATGAAGTATTTCAGGATGATTTTTGTTGCAGATGTCACGTCAAACGACTATCGCAGTCTTTGCTCATGTGTCCTACCTTCAAACAGCCAAAACAGACTCCCCTTTTCTTTAAGTCAATTTTTTCCCTGTGCATCTTTTTCCTGATTTGTGGACACCGCACCAATGCGTGACCATCTCTCTCACAGAACAAACAGGAATTTTGAGGGTTAGCGACGGATACATTTTTCATTCCACTTGTCATTTTTTCTTGTATTGGCATTCCCACAGGTGTTGCAGTAGTTGCAAAACTGCTTCCTCTTGGTTCTCGGCCTCTCTCTTGCTGTGACATAGGTTTTGACGGATGTAGTTGTCTTAACATCCTGGATGTTCCCAAAAAGTGGATCCGACAATATCTTCACTTGTCTCTCCATGAAGTCTACCAAGTCAGAGAAACTAGCTCGACGTCCATGTTGTTCCTGGAGCTGACATGCCCTATTCCTCCACTTGTCTCTGAGCTTGTAAGGCAGTTTGAGAAGAATGGTTTTCATACTGGAAGCGACGTTCAACTCCTCCATATAGGTGAGCTGTTCCATTGCATTGCAACAACCTCTCAGGAATAATGTAAACGCTTGCAATGCTTTCACGTCCTCTGGCTTGATCGCTGGCCAGGCAAATGCTTTGTCCATGTATGCTGTAGCAATCTTATGTTCGCTACCAAAATGTTCTTTAAGCAGCTCTTTTGCTCTTTTATAGCCCTCAGCCGAAGACAAATGTTGACAGCTGTGGACTAAATCCTTTGGATACCCTCTGGTATATTGCTCTTGGAAATGCAGGCAGTCACTGTAGTCATCAGTCTTTCTTTCCACTCCTCTCTCGAATGCCCTGATGAAAACTCCATATTGCAAGGGATCACCATCATAAACGGGAATGTCTCTTGGTGGTAAAGTAGAAGAGAGATTGTGTTGAGCTAGAAGAGTGGTTATGTCACTTTGCTTCTGAATGATGTGATAGATATCACCTTGAATATGATCATTATATACAGGTTGTGTTAGAGGAGTCATATCCTGAGCTCTAACAGATGGTCCATCAGCGCTTTCCTTTGGCTGAACAACCTGTTGCTGGGAAGAAGATTCTGTTCCCGTCCGCACATTCAGTCTTTGTTGCACTTGATCGGGAAAATAGGTGTTTGCATGTGGATTCTCTTTGACTGACCTTTTCCTTTGAACAGTTCCTTTTTCCAAATAAGAGTTAATCCCGTCTGACACTATTTCTTGATTCAAGTACATTGATTTTTGCATTGGTTGCTGCCAGTTAAGTCTTAGTTCCAGTTGTTCTTTCTTCCTTTTCAGTTGTTCTTCCTTCCTTTTCAGTTGTTCTTCCTGCCTTTTCAGTTGTTCTTCCTGCCTTTTCAGTTGTTCTTCCTGAGCCTCCAGGTCATGCATTTTCTGCAGAGCGGCGACCCGTTCCATGAGAGCAGCCTTTTCTGCATGAGCTTTAATGCGAGCAGAGGATGTTGAAGATGCACGTGATGAAGAACTTGATTTGTGGCTTGATTTGGGTTTTGACACATTAGAAATATTGTCATCCGGTCCAATGTCCTCTGTGATTATATTTTCAGCAATGGTATGCGTTGTATGCCATCCAACCTCTGAAAACCACACATTTACATCCTGTATAAAACCATCAAAAGTTGTCATTTTTTGTGGAAACCAGTAATTTTGCTTTTCAAGTTCATTTTCAGGCAATGGTAACTTCACCAATGACTCATGACTTCTTTTGGCATCATTACAGAGGTTGATTAAGTAACCAAGTTAGATTGCACTTCATTTGCATTCCCTTTTGATTTCATGAGCTCTTTCTGAAACTCCATTGACTTCTTAGCTTGCTTACATTTCAAGTTTCTTGCTTTCTGACAGTTTTCAAGAACATTTCCAAACCTTTATCAGTGTGTCTAGTAACCCTTTTTCCTTTTTCAGAATCCAATGCAACATCGCCATCTTGTGACCGAACGTCAGACTTGACTAAGGACATATTTGTTTTGCTCTAAGTGATCCAGTAAACCGCACTGAAGGCAGAATGCGTCGTGCGGCTTATATTGTAGTGAGAGTCAACGAGATTCAGTGTTGCGGTTTCTGGTCCTATAGCTTTTCCAATAAAGCTTAGTGTTGCACGTACCTCCTCCGTGGCTCCTTGTTGTTTGGAGTTTCCAATCCAAAGTGTCAATATAAATACAGTCTAACAAACAAAATATACTTTGCCAACAACAACACATAATGGCCCCTACAATTGTAAAGGTCTTGGAAGCGCACGGTTTCTTCGATCGCCCACTGGGAAGGAGAATCCTCTGGCAACAGAATGAAGTGTCATGGTTGCACTTGAGATGAAAATTGGGCATTGCAGAAGACACTAAAAGAAATTTAAAAAGAAGATTCTATGTTGTCTCAACTTCACCACGAACATCTCCAATAAATTCATTCAGATTGATGAGTCCATCTTTATCGGTGTCATATTCATTTAACACATTTTCAATGGCAAAATCCTGTTGGGAAAAAAAGGGTAAATGATTCAAATGAGGGCCACCTATATAATGTGTAGTAGAATGCATTTTCATATCTGGACTAGCGGGAGTCGAAGCTGAACTCTTCTCACAGTCGTGTGATCCACTTTAGATGGGTGGGTGAAGGCAAGGAACTCTGTCACATTCAGCCCAGGTGTGCCGTCCACATCAGCAATGTTAAAGCGTCTCCTTTCCCTCAGGTGGAGCTAACGGGGAATGTTGAATTAATACAGATAAATCACGTTATGGGTTTTAATTTGATTAACAGGACAACTCAGCCGACACTCGGATTTCCGTGGTCAACTCAGCCGATGCTTGAATTTTAGTGCATGTGTATGCTGATATTTATGGTATTGAACAAGTAACCGGAATAAAAGCTGTTTAATCAAATATTCTGGACAATGACTGAAGTATGTGTGTTTACGACCATTCTGACTACTATTGTACAAATAAAAGAATACTTTTACTGTACAAAGTTAGAAAATTATCCTTTATTTCAAGTTCATAAGGACCATTTCTAAAGTTTGAACTGCAATAAAAATACTTTTAACTAACATACATGTGATAAGAACATATCTGACCACTATTGTAAGACAAGTGAAATATTTGTACTGTACAGATTTGGAGATTTCTTTAAAGTAAAAGACCTATAATTGCATGTTCAAAAAGACCATATCTCCATATTTGCAATGCAATAAAAACATAATCCTCAATAATTCCAGGACAGGACCAGTGTACTCATGTTAAGGACCTCTCTGACTACTACCATGCTGAATATCAAGTATTTTTACTGTACAGATTTGGAGATTTCACCAAAGTAAAAGCCCTATTTTTGCAAGTTCAAAAAGACCATTTCTCAAAGTTTGAACTGCAATAAAACCAGATTGACCAATAGTTCCAGACCAAGACCAATGCATCTGTGTTAAGGACCTCTCTGACTACTAGCATGCTAGTGGCCACTGCCAGGGTATTTGTGGCTGTGTCTCTGTCTGTGTGTGTGTTACAGGGTGAACTTCCTGGTGGAGTGGAGCTGAGGCCATCAGGCAGATCAGACGCAGCTGGCCACTGTCTTGAGTGCATTAAAACCTGCCCCTTTCTGAGTGTTTGGGCGCGACTGGCGGTTTCGTTTGTCTAATCGGTTAATTTGGAGAATAAAAATTGTTGGCTGATAATCCCTGTAGCGTGGTTTCTTGTATTTGTTGTGGCCTTCGAGCCGGATCATAACAAATTGGGGGCTCGTCCAACTTGGAAATTGTACTATTAGCAGAGGTTAAGTGATGTGTTTTTTTGTGTGGAAACCTACGTAAGGGAAATTACCAGGCTGTGGAATGATTTGGAATCATTGGTGCAAGTTGGTTTCTGTCTAGTCACGGGACAAGGAAGGTAAGTGTTGACCTTTTTGGTTGCGCAAATGTATATATTGAGCCAATTCCCCTGTAGGTATATCGCGTTTTCCTCTTTAGGAAGCGTGTGCACAGGAATGTAGTGTGGGGTGAAAGTGGCTGGAGCGGTTTTCTCGGGAGCACGTCCATGGTTGTGGCAAAGTTGACAGCTTGCTGGTCGCTTAACCAAACTACTGGGTTTTAGTGCGTAAATACCCGCCGCAAATAACACCTGAAGACTAGGGTTAAGTTAGATAGATCGGGTTAGGCAGTTTAGAGGGGATGCTCAATTTCGAGGTTATTTTGTGGTCTGTGTTGCGCACTATTTAGGTCAATACTATACATTCTTTTGTTTACCGGGGACTGATTTGCTGTTGTGCATCCTTCAGGTGGTGTTCATCATCATGGCAGGAGTAGATGAGTTCATTGCTATTCCTTCGGAGGAATTTTTGGATCAGTGTACTAGGGATCAGTTGTTAAAGATGGCTGATCATTATAAAATCAGTGTAGGAGGCAGAAGGTTAAAGGAAAATGTTAGATCTACTATAAGGGCACATTTGTATGATATGGGTGTTTTAACACCTGTACAAAAATCACATCACAGTCCTACTAATTTGGCTTTGGATGGGTGTTCGCAGGATATGGCTCATAGTGTAGCTTTAAACTTTGAACAGCAAAAAGAAATGTTGATATTGCGGATGAAGTTGGAGAAGGAGCAAGCAGAAGTTGATAAAGTGTTGGCACTAGAAAAAATGAGGCAACAAACCGAAATGGCAAAGCTAGATTTTAAAACTAGAGACTGAGGTTAGTTAAAGAAGGTAAATTCTATGACTTCTCCAGGAATGAAAAGTTGGCTCGAAGCAGCGGTAATTCAAGTGATATTTTGAATAGTTTGCGCTTGGTGCCTAAATTTAGTGAGAAAGACGTTGATGTATTCTTCACGTTGTTTGAGCGGATTGCAGACACGAGGGGCTGGGTTGATTCAGACCATATCGTTTAGCTACAATGTGTGTTAACGGGGCGTGCTCAGGAGGTTTTTTCCTCGTTGTCTCTGGAAGACAGCGGTGATTATGCCAAGGTTAAAACGGCTGTACTGAAAACGTATGAGTTAGTCCCTGAAGCATACCGTCAGCGTTTTAGGAGTTGGAAAAAGGGAGATAAATCATATCTTGAATTTGCCCGTGATTTGGGGATTCACTTTAGTCGATGGTGCTCGGCCTCAGAAGTGAAGGATTTTGATGACTTGTGTAACTTGATGGTGCTTGAACAGTTTAAGAATTCAGTCCCAGAACGAATTGCCCTGTACATAAGTGAACGGAAGGTGAGGACAGCAGGGGAGGCTGCTGCCCTTGCGGATGAATTTTTCTTGACCCACAAAGGTAGGGGTGTCGATGTCCGCACGCATGCTTGGTCTGGGGAAAATGTTGCACCTGCAGGAGGGATGTTTTTTTCTAGGGCGTCAGGTGGGGGTTTTCCTCGAGAACAGAGAGTTGATCATGGAGTCCGTGACTCTGAGTGTCATTTTTGTCTTAAATACGGTCACTGGAAGAGAGACTGCGTGGCGTTTAAGTTGCGGAATAGGCAAGATGTAACTCATGTAACGCCGGTGGCTCTGGCAGCACCAATTTTCAATGTGCTTTCAGACCAATCGAGGGTCGAGTCACCAGTTGTGATGTCAAAGCCTGACTTAAGCTCATACTTGCCGTTTATTTCAAAAGGACATGCGTCGTTGGTTGGAAATAACAAGAGGGTGCCAGTGACTATCTTACGGGACACGGGAGCATTTGATTCATTTGTTCTAGAGTCTGCTTTGCCGTTTTCTGAGGAAACTGATACTGGATCTTTTGTACCTGTTTTGGGCATGGGTATGTCTATTTTTCATGTTCCTGTACATAAACTTGTGCTCCATTCAGACTTGTTTGAGGGCGAAGTGAAAATGGGAGTACGTCCTGCTATGCCCATAGACGGTGTCACTGTAATTCTGGGAAATGATGTGGCAGGAGCACGTGTTTGGGGAGGTAGCGCGGTACATCCAGTGGTGGTCCCAGTACCGCTGGGTAGTAACGGCCCTGATGAGAATGAAAAGCAGTTTCCTGAAGTGTTCACAGCCTGCGCCGTGACACGCGCCGTGAAGCGGGCGACTGATTATGCAGAGCCTATAGAGGTGGAAGACGTAGAGAGTGAGGCATTGGAGTTGTTTGTAATGACTTTGTCTAACACTCCCTTGTCTGTCTCCCATAGTGAATTGGCGCGTGAGCAAAGAGCCGATGTTACGCTAAAGGAGCTTTTTCAGTCTGTTCTGCGGGTGGATGAGGTGAAAAATCGGGCACATGGTTACTTCGTACAAAATGAGGTACTGGTTTCGGAAGTGGGTGCCACATTGTGAGAGCTTTGTTGGTGATCCTGTGTATCAGATTGTTGTTCCCTCCAAATTTCGTGATTTGGTTTTGCGTGTCGCTCATGATGAGTCGGGACACATGGGGGTTGGTAAAACGCATGATCGGGTCCTTAGACATTTTTTTTGGCCGCGGATTAAGAAAAGTGTTGCAAGCTACATCAAAACGTGCCACACTTGTCAGTTAACTGGTAAGCCAAATCAGAAAGTGAAAGTTGCTCCCCTGTATTCGATTCCTGTTGTAAACCAGCCATTTGAGCACCTGCTTATTGATTGTGTAGGCCCTCTTCCTCGTTCAAGGTCAGGTGCAAGGTATTTGTTAACTGTTATGTGCAGTAGCACCAGATACCCAGCAGCATACCCGTTACGCACGCTAACAGCAAAATCAGTGGTGCGTGCGCTGGGTCAGTTCATATTCATCTTCGGCATACCTAGAACCATTCAGAGGGATCAAGGGTCAAATTTCTCCTCTCACTTATTCGCACAGGTATTAAAACTGTTTCATGTTTCAGCACAACCAGTCTTCTGCGTACCATGCGCAAAGCCAAGGAGCGCTGGAACGTGTCCACCAAACTGTAAAATCAATGTTGAAGGCATATCATACCCGGGTATCTCAGGAATTGAGTGCACGGGCAGACGATCCTCAGTCAGTGTGTTGGTAACACAGTTTTGTCTCGCAGTGAAGCTGCTTGTGAGGATGATTTACCAAATCATGACTGCATTGTTAACTGGTCGGCGTAAGAACTCTGAGGTACTTTCGGATTTAAGCAGGGTATTGTTTCATTTGTCCAGAGCCCCATGTCAGTGATTGTTCTCTAGTTCTTCATTGTGGTGTCTCTATCTCACTCTTAAATCGCTTCCAGGTACCAGTTTCAGAGATGAGTGTGAGGCCACAGGATGAAGGCGAAAGGAGCAAGTACTGTTCAGGGGACTTTGTATTGGGTCTAGTGACAGTTAGGTGTAAATAGAATTTTGAGGAATAATTTAAGACCGTAAAAATAAATACAATTTTTTAAAAAAAAGTTTAAATGTTATAACTTTATAGTGGTTGTTGGTCAGGGTTCCGGTGGGGACCCTGTCTTTATGGGCGGGGGTGTGACGGCCCCAGGGCCACTGCCAGGGTATTTGTGGCTGTGTCTCTGTCTGTGTGTGTGTTACAGGGTGGACTTCCTGGTGGAGTGGAGCTGAGGCCATCAGGCAGATCAGACGCAGCTGGCCACTGTCTTGAGTGCATTAAAACCTGCCCCTTTCTGAGTGTTTGGGCGCGACTCCTGGCTTTCTCCTGTTCCCCAGCGCAATGGCGGTTTCGTTTGTCTAATCGGTTAATTTGGAGAATAAAAATTGTTGGCTGATAATCCCTGTAGCGTGGTTTCTTGTATTTGTTGTGGCCTTGGAGCCGGATCATAACAGGGACTTAAGTCAACGGTGGACTAAATGAATTCTGAGCAAGATTTCCGGGTAATTTTTGTAACCAGATTGTCAGAAAATTGAGAAATTCAATTAAAAAGGCCAAACTATACCATATGATAGTAGACTGCTGGTTACACTGTATGACTTTGATAATTGAGTTGTGGGGGGTATTGCACATATTTGCTCTCTGCAATAGACAATGAGCCGTTTTGACTGGACTGCTGTGCTCGGGTCAAACGGCTGCTCTCATCATGGGACGTCTTAATGCTCAAAAGTAGGGGTGTAACGATTAATTTTAACAACGATTCGATTCGAATCTCGATTCATGGTTGCCGATTCGATTCATGGACGATCTGGGTTAATTTACAACGATTCGATTCGATTCAGTGACTTGAAATCAATTCAGTAACTTAACTTAGCTTCGAGATCCCTGTTGTTTCTGGTAAGGAAATCAGGTTTAAATTAATTATGGATATTATAAACAAGCAAACAACAATTAATGGCAAATGTATTAACCTTTTAATTGAATCAAGTGCTATTTTCAATGTAAATATTACACAATAACTAGAAAATGCATTTCCTGCTGAAAATGCGTTGGAATGCAAAAAGCTGAAAGCTGAAATGAAATTTTTAAAATAGCTGAAAATACAGAAAGTTGAAGCAAATTTGAATACATTTGCTGAAATTACAGATATTAGAAAAGCTGAAATAAATGTGAAATATTGCAAAACAAAACAGAAGTTGCAGAAGCTTGAATGAATTTAAAAAGTACAGAAATAACAAAAGCTGAGATGAATAAAAAGAGGTCTAAAATTGTTTGTAGTAATATTAGTAGTAGTATTAGTTATAGTTGTAATTGTGGTATTAGTAGTACTAGCTGTAGAAGTCGGTTTAGTATCAATAGCAGTAGAAACAGCTGGAATACTGATATTATTAGCCATAGTAGTATTTGTAATAACATTAGTAGTAGTTGTAGTATTAATAGCAGTAGAAATACTAGTAGTATGGTAGTAGAAGTATCAGTTGTAGTACTAGTAGAAGTACTTGTAATATTCGTAGTGGTTGTAGTAGTATTTGAAAGAGCAATATGTATTTCAACGAAACCGCTTCATGGTTAAGGTACAGATAATCATTGAGGCTTTTATTTTGTAATGATGGAATTGGGTGAGGGGGGGTTGGGAGACAGAATGTTTGTTATTCAAACTAAGAAGTTTTTCATTAATAGGCCTCATCAAAAACACTACAGTAAGAATTCCCTCCATGGGGCTTTTATTTTGAAATTATTGGATTGTGTGGGGTGGGGGGGTGTAGATAGAGGGAGGGAGGGTGAGAGGGTGAAGAAGGGAGAGAGAGAGCCGTGGATCTGTTGACAGAAAGCATAGCTGCCAGATGCAGCCCACCTCGACCGAACGCGGGCCAGACCATTATGGCCGACGGGGGGGATGACACTGACGGTCCGACCGGCGAACGGAACGGTCGGCGCTGGGGTGGAGGTTGTAAGTGGCTGCTAACAGCGAGGTTGCTACAATATGGAACTCGCGGGCCGCACTAACATTACACTTTCATATGAAGGCGGGGGCCACAAAATATCGTCCCGAGGGCCGCAATTTGCCCGCGGGCCGCGAGTTTGAGACCCCTGCTCTAGAAGGTATACTTTGGCTGCAAGGACAGAAGTTCCATTTTTTTTTTTACCAGATTCTGGCGTTGCCTCACACTCTAGCCCTCGAGGTCCCCACTCTAGCAGACGCAATACACACTCATGTAAAAGTCAGAAACGGAGCGAAGAACTAGTGAAACATAATCAGTGATTATGAAAAAAGTACAATAGATATCCACAAGCAGTTTTTTTCATAAAATAGTTGAGACTTGTGTCAACATTTGAAAGTTTAAATGGTGTCTGTAGCTGAAAGATTTGCGGAGCTGAAAAATCTGAAAGTTGAAGAAGTTTAAGAGGATTTGGAAAACAAACTCCATTTGAAAACCATGTTAAAATATTAATGATTATTGATTTATATAAATTCAAGCATAAGAGGTAGAAAGCTGAAAAGTCATAGCCCTCAAGCCAGAAAGGAGCTGAACATTTTAATATTTGAACGGTTTTAATAGCTGAAATTGTGAAGGAGTTGAAAGGTGCCGCAGAAGAAATAGAAGAAGAAGATGAAGATGAAGAAATAAAGATTCGAAGAACAATACTTGGAATGCATGCTTAGTGCATTCCAACAATAAAGATTCGAAGAACAATACTTGGAATGCTTAATGCATTCCAACAATAATGCATTCCAACAATTACACAATGTTTGGATCAATTCACAGAACCCCGGATTTTCAACCTCATTGTAGGGTCGCATCGCTTTACAGCTAAACTTCGCAATTGTTGCTGTGATGTTGAGTTTGGTGCTGGCGAGGCCTGAGGTGTCTGCAGAGCTGCAGTTACCTTCTGCTGCTGCTGCAGCGGTAACGCTGCTAGAGGTCCTGACTGTCGCTGTTGTTTAAGCACACGCCGCCTTAGTAGATGGCCGGAAAGATTCGTCGTGTTTCCATGTTTTTTTTATTTGGCTTCTACATGTTCTACAAACAGCGACCGACTTATTTAGAACACCTCCGTGTTTGCAAAAGCCAAAATGTTTCCACACGCTGGATCGATAAGTTGGTTTGTAAATGTCTCGCTCGCAGTCGTCTCCTCCACGCTGTGTTTTGTTGTTGTTCAGAGTTTCGCGTGTCTGCCGCTGCGCACTGATGACGTCAAAGACAGGCAGACTGAATCGAGTAACGTTTAACGTGTCTAAAGTGCTAAAAAACAAACAAACACACATCCACACCGTTTTTGTACTTAAATCCAATGTGCAGTTTCCAAGTATCGATAAAATCGATTATGTACCATTTCAATCGATTTGTAATCGATATATGTCGTCCGGAATGCCGATTTGCAGAGCACAGATCGATTCAGTTGGATCGCAGGAATATAAATCGATTAATCGATTCAGTGAATGAATCATTACACTCCTACTCAAAAGCATTAGAGGATGTGATGCATTTATTTTGCTTCACAGTGTCGGCTTCACCACCGGGGTCATCAGTGTACTGATGCACCATCGACGTGTAGGTCAGCCATGACGCACGCCGAGCACGCAGCGCGGTCAGAGCTCCCGGCGCCGGGAGACCTCTGCCATACACTTAATGTGTGCACTGTTGTGGCTCTGGACAAATACATGCAACCTCATATTGCAATGCAGTCATGCTATTTTACATTAATTACAAGGATTACGTATTTCAAATAGTCATTTTTGATAACTATTAGTACTTTTTATACATTTGTGACATTTCGTTCAACTTATTTTGATCTTTGTTTCTATGAGGCGCTTCTTTCTCCAACAAACTGTTAACATGTGTTGTATGACATTTATGTATTGCTGTAGACCAGGGATTCCCAAGTGGGGTTGTGCAAGAGGAAACATGTAATAGTGGTCTAATGGAGTAATAGTTCATATTAAATTAGAATTTGTAAAAAGTCAATAGGGTTTTTACACAAAATAGAGGCATGAATTATAAAACTACCATTTGCCAGTTTAAAATTAAAAATGTACAATTTAATAAATAAATACACTTCAGCTCCTCCTTTTACGTACTCACTAACTAACGTTAGCCTAGTTTGTGCACCTAAATCGTGAAACTGTCACGTTGACATCTGAAGCCATCAGTTGCGAGAGAGGACAGAGAGAGACGGAGGAATACGAGGCGATAGAAACGGGGCGCTAATACGTCTCCTACTCGCTAAAGTTATCTCTCTCTCTCTCTCTCTCGGCCCTGTGCTGTGTGTGAAATCCTCAGATGGACTCCAATTTGAACGCAGCTATAAATAGACTTCTTATGTGGGGGATTGGAGGGGCATGAAGCCAGTTGGGATGTACAAAGGGGTGCGTGGCCTAAAAAATTTGGAAACCGCTGCTGTAGACAATGCTTTAAGCACTCTACAACATAATTTTGTGCATGATGTATTACATTGGAAGTAACCATAGCAACAGTACTTATTCCCATGCAGGCTGTGTTATTGGTTAGCTCACCACTAAAGCTATTTGGTTTCCTAATAGAACTGGGCACAGGTTCTAGCTGGCGTTTGTAAAGGCCTGTTTTTTACAAACTGCCCAGGTTTGCCATGACCAAGGAACTTCACTGATGTTTGTTTTATTGTTTTTTTGATAACAATGAAGTACTGTGGCACGCAAGAATAAGATGCAGTTTTTCAGTTAACCAGGGAATAAACTACATGTTGATGTTTTTGTGGGATTTGTTGATTTATCAAGTATTGCCTCAACTCTTTTAAACACACACATATATATTAATGAAGGTCACGCCATGAAGCCAACGTCCTCATTAGCAGTTAAAAATATTCTGGTATGAATAATACATAATCACAATATACAAAATATAAAACACCCCTCCAATTTCCCAACGCTCTGGTCTGTGCTCTTCACCCTCTCCTGTTCTCCTGTGTACCTCCTGTTCCTCTACAGCGGGTTGAAACTGTCCACACATCACTATAGTAATGATCGTGGCAAAAGGACAAAGATATAAAAATGAATCCTACCTATCGATCCACACATTCTTGCATTCCTAGATGAAGGGAGCACTATGAGTCATCCCACATTGTTGCCCCAGGGACAGGGTGCCCTTTTCAATGAATCCAACATATATTCTCTATTTGATCTGCTTCGCTCGGGTCTTTGGCTGTCTCATTGAGGTCTTTTAAATCGGTTTCTTGTGCAGTCATCTTTTCAGCGCTCCAACAGCCATGACAAGGTGAGGAAGATCGTTGCTGAAGAAGGCCGCGCTGCTCGAAACCTCATCGCCTGGAATGTACCTCTGGAGAACAAAGAGGAGGAAGGTTGGTAGCTGCATCCTACACAGACTTTTTGTGTGATTTTAATGATATATTTCACGCTGTATTGATATCGCAAGTAAATGGTGTGTAGCATTTGCGTAGTTTGGGTCCTGATTGAGTAGTGGTAAGAGGTGCAGCACATGTTTGCTTTAGGTTATTTGACTTACCATATCTTTGGGACGGTGGAAGATTTATTTTGAGTATTCCATTAACTATTCTTGGGAAAGTCACAGTCTGTGAAGGAACTCACTGATCATTTCTCATCTCAAGGCTAGACTGTTAATGAAGGAGTGTTGAGAATCTCTTAAGTAGGAGAGCGCCTACACTCGTACGTAATGCTTTGTTATGTGGAAGAACATTTTTCTGCTGGCAGAGTTCACTGGTTCGCTGTGGTTCATGGTGTTTGGTCAGGATAGTATTATGTAATCAGCTTTGAATTATTTACACAATACCTAAAGCTTTGAAATTCGGAGAAAAAGAACTCTTCGATATTAGAATTTTAATCTTTTTCTGTTCAACAATGTTGTTTCCTGTAATGCATTGTATTGCAAGCTCATATAGTGAAAGGATGTTTCTTTTAGACCAGCTTTCACCACAGCTTACACAGCAGAACCTTTTTCCCAGAGTTTACAATGAAATTCAGAATAATAAAAAGTGGTGTTCTCCTTCAAATGTAAATAAAGGTCTCTGTCTGGCAGTTTTTATTATTATTTTATTTCATAATCACTGTTAATCTTGTAAAAGACGATTTTAAGGTACACACAGCCCTTTTTGAATCAACACATTAAACATCAACACAGACGCATGCCACCATTTCGCTCTGTCAGCTGACATCATTACTAAAAATGGAAAAGCCCTTAAAAATCTCTCTGGTAAAAAAACCTTTTAATTTAGCCACCTAAAGAAAAGGCACAATCCCAATGCTTCCGTAACTCCATATTAAGAATATTATTTAGCACCTGATTATTTCATCTGCATGTTGAACAATATTTGAGATTATTTCACCCATTACTATACATAGCATAAGCCTAATGGTTCTCCTCCCCACAGTTAAGTCCAAAAGCAACTCCAGTGGAAGTTCCAGGACCCAGAAGATCAACTCTGGTCAGCACAGGAATAAGAAACAGGTTAGTGTGTTGTCTTCTTCCAATAGAGGGCCCCATTCACCAAGCGAAGCACTCTATTTATTATGCTCTTTTATTGTAGTTTTTATTTAACTATGAATACTTATTGAAATCACTGGGATAGACAGCATTACCACAAGAGTTTTCAAATCTCTCTATTCCCCTCGTACTACAAATGCATGGTTGGTAACACAATGCCACCTCGTGTCCCGACCAACAGGAAATAAGTGCTGTGGTTGCAATATAAAAACAAACAAGGACTCGCATGACGTTGCGATTACGTTTGTAATGGTCACCGTCATTTGTGGTCCACACTTTGCCTCTCCAGAATGCTGGAGTCGAAAATAAAGGCACAGCTCGTGTCATGTTGGAAAAGGGGCCGGAGAAGAGCCCCATCAAAGCCCGGCAGCCGTGCAAGGTGGACCTGCGAGCGCGCTACTGGGCCTTCCTCTTTGACAACCTGCGGCGGGCTGTGGACGAGATCTACGTCACCTGTGAATCAGGAATCAGGAATCAGGAAACATTTATTAGCCAAAATATGTCAAACATACAAGGAATTTGTCTTGGCGGTTAGTGCGCGACAGTAGACAGACAAGACAACAGTGCACAAGTAATAAAATAAAGTGGAATGACATGCTAATGCAATGGGTTAGTAGAATAAGGCTAAGGCTATGGGTTAGTATAAAACAAGGGAATAAAGTTTAAAAAATTAAAATATTAAAAAGTTAAAAAGAAAAATATTAAGCATAAAATGCACTAACGAACAAGTAATAGACAAGAGACAAGTGACGAGTGAAGACAAAGTGATGAATTGCAGTTAAAGTGGCATGTGCAGTATGAGGGGGAGTGACCGGTGGAGTGTTATAGTCAGGCAGTGGGGGACCGGGCTCTGTTGATGAGCCCGACTGCCGACGGGAAGAAACTGTTGGTGTGGCGGGAGGTCTTAGTCCTGATGGACCTCAGCCTCCTGCCAGATGGAAGGGGCACAAACAGTTTTTGTCTGGGGTGGGAGGGGTTGGCCGCGATCTTTTTAGAATCCGACCAGAGCGTCGTAGAATGCAAGTTGAGTCTGCTTCAAGACGAAAACAAGGACCCGGGTGGAAATGCAAGTTGCAGCGTGGGGGGATTGGTGGCATCATGATCCACCAAAAGGAATTCCCTGTTTGTGGAACCTGGAAGGTGTGAGGATTTATGAACACCACCAGAGGGGGGGCTTTAGGGTCATTACACAATATCTCCCTCACAACTTACATTCCTCGTCATTTCTGCTTCGTGTCAGAAGGGCTCTCTGACGGCCCGTTGCTGAAAGAAGCGTTGCAGAACCCTCGCGCTCTCTTGGGCCCGACTGGACTGCGTGCCAACGACGGACTGTAGACACCTTTGTACACGCACGCTGTTTGTCCTCAGGCATCCGGTGAAATTCCGGCACATTTTTGGTCGACAAATTTGACTGCACCAATTGTCCGTTGGTGACCCTGTGAAGTTGCTCCTGGGCGTATTGGTTTAATGCCAATGGTGCTGTGTTGGTTATTGATGTCAGACATCTGCCTGGTTGGTGTCTTTCCCCCCACTCTCCTCCATCCCCCTCATAGCACCGTATCGCTACACCCTAATGCTGTCTAATGGCCATTGAGCCGGTTGCTGTTCTTAATCCTCTATCCCACCCAGCTTGGGCTTGATGGACACTGATAGATGATGGAGTCATCTGGAGGGGAAGCAGAGTGCTCTGATTGCACCAAGCCACAAACCCCCAGTGTAGCTGTGGGCAAATCTGCATCGTGTGCTCTCACACAAATTGCTAACAATTTTCCAAGCTCAGAACTTATGGACATAAACATAACCGCTGTCAGGAAGTGATGCCTAATTCTTTATAAAGGCTATATTTTGTTACTGTAATGCTTTGTGTACTTTTGAGAACCAGGCTATATAATTTTCCCGAGGTCGGTCGCTCTAACTTGTACCTGTTCATTCTTGTTTCTCTGTATGCACCACATCCTTTACTGCCCATCCTATTTATGGCAATGCCTCTGGAAGGTTAAACATTTTGTCATTCCTCATGAAATGTTATGTGAGGGTTGTATTTAGGTGTTTAGGTGTTAAGTGTGCCTGTTAACATGCTGAAAGCCACTTTATGGTGCCTTCCCTCATTGTTGGTTTATCTGTCAGGAGGAGAGCAAACCTCTCCCCATCTCAGCCTTCATTACCAAATGAACACCGTGCCATAGTGGGGGTCTTGTTAACCAGCTCTAATCAGGAGACCCGCTGCTGGAGACATCTTTCACTGGCCTGACTGGTCTATTAACTAAAAGCACTGTGAAGCTTTACTCTCAATTACCACTCCCTTCACGCTCCCCATCAATCAGTGGTGTTCGTTTCATTAGAGCTCTGAGAAAAGCTCCACAAGGCCCACCACCTCAGGAGAACCAACAGGGAGACAGTTCAAGTGCAGATAAGAGGCATTTTATATTGGGAATTGGGCTTCTGAGTTGTTTCTTTAAACCTTTCAATCAAGCATTTGTAGTATTTGTCATTAAACTTCAGAAATTCCTGATAAGAATAAGAAATGTGACAGGAGCTGTCGAAAAGCCACAGGCTTTTATAACAAACCTTGACAAAATATAAACAATATGTAAGAAAATATTGAAAAAAGCCATCACAATAAATAAAGGAATAAATGAAAGACAACATTTAATCTTTTTTATTTTTTTTAAATCAACCTGTTGAAATGGCAAAAGAATATAGTTCGTTCTGTGTTTATATTATAGATAGATAGATACTTTATTGATCCCTCAAGAGGGAAATTTTGGTATCACAGCAGCATGTACAGGGAAGAAAATAGAATTAAAAGATACACATTATATACAATATAATAAAATTGAAATATTAAATTATTAAATTAAATTAAATAAACTAAACTAAAACAAAATAATAACCTAACGTTATGCTTTGAAAAACATGGTTACTAGAGGTAAGTGTTTGAGTGTTGCATTTTATAACAGAAGGGACTTGCTTTTGACATTATTGTTGTCCGCTCTCGAGAATAATCTGAAGCATGTCTGTCGACGTACCTTTTCAAATGTTTTCAATGCATTGCACCTTCCTTCATGCTTGTGTTGATAATCTGTGGATAATCTCGTCCTCCATCCGGATGTGGCTGTTGTCTTTAGGAGGTGTTGATGATGTTGGAGAACTATGTGCGAGACTTCAAAGCTCCCATAGACTGGATCCAGCTCCAGGAGAAGTTGGAGAAAACGGACGCCCAGAACAGGTTTTTTTTCCTTTTCTCACCCCCTTGCTCTACCGCTCACTCTCATTCACATTCTCTTTTCAATTGCTCCCTGAGGTAAAACTGGAAGTGCCGGTGTCTGGTACCTGGCTTTGACTTACAAACACAACGGATCAATAGCCTTAGCTTCAATTCCAAGAGATCCATGAGTTTATTGGCTTCTCTTTAACACGGTGACCACTGTGACTGTAAATTGACTAAGAAATTAAATTCCCAGTGCTCACTCCCGATTTGTTCGTTTAAAGCGCACTGTTAATCAATAAGACAACCTGAAGCTTTGACACATTCCATTCATTGCACAAATCACTGAAAGTAAATCAGCTATTTAACTGATTTAATTGTGAACCAAGTCTGTGTGTTTTTTGGCAACTACGAATTACTTATTCATGTAATGTTGGCCACTCTGACTTCAGGCCGACTTCTTTGGCCTGGGAGGTGCGTAAGATGTCTCCAGGACGTCATGTGATGCCGAGCCAGTCAGCGGACCGAATGGTTCGGTCTCCAGGTGCACGTCGCGTCCTTAACTTCGGGTAAGGTCTTCCACCGAAACCCCATCAGACATTTTATCGGCTTAAAGATCATCGTTTTATTTGATTCAAGCTGTATCGCAATGCATCCTGTTATTGAGCAATCAAATATTTTAAATGATGCTGGTTTCTAACGAGGTTAGAAGACACAGACTACGCTATCTTACAATATAGCGATTGATTCCCGGTGGTGAAGCATTTGTTTAATGCAATTTTCAGTGTCTCACTCTCCGGCCATAGAATCAGTGGAGGGTGTAGATGAAAGTGTCAGTTAAAGACTGCTGAAGCATCGGTTCAGTATGTGCACTGCACTGTAATCTGATGCTGCAGGAAATGGATATTGATCATAACGCAGGCCTGTTGTCCAATACAGTCCCATGCTCCTCACAGAGTGCTGCTGCTGCTGCGGTGTTCGATAGACATATAATATGTATAATATAATTAAAAATCAAACCTGCCGAAAGTGAAGGCTTGGTTTTTTAGGTTCACTGTTGTTCGTTCTCCTGCATGATGTGTGTCTTATGTCTTCCTCAGTGGTCCCCCACCTACACTGGCTGTAGCACGGCTGTCCCACACAGACCTCAGCTGGGCGGACCGAGTGAAGTCCACTCAGTCCGTCCCCACCGCCAGTCAACAAACCAGCGCCCCTGTAGAAAACCTAGGTAAGAATTCACCCCTGCACTGACCAACATGCACTTTAAGAGAATATATAGATAGATAGATGGATAGATACATGGATACTTTATTCATCTCCGAGAGGACATTTGGGAAAAATAGTTGAAGAACGCCTGTGCCCTGACATGGGCAGCTCAGTAACGCATCTTCTTACCTCTCGTGTTTTCCAGGTAAAAAGGATGCTGAGGGCTGGGAGACGGTCCAGCGAGGACGTACCGCCAAGCCCCGCTCTGCCGCCATAGTTGCCAAGGCCATTTCCGTCCCGGTTAAAGACCCCCCGAAGCAGGACAGCGTCAAGTGTAACCAGTCACACCCGCCGCCAAAAGAGGAGCGACCAATCGACGCTGTGTGTCCGTCCAACAAGGACACAACCCAGAAGGACGATGAGCAGCATGTCCCCTTGGAGCCGAACCCCCTGGTGGAAGTTGGATGTCCGGTGAACGGGAACATGATGGAGGTACTGAGGTTCAGTACCGTGGGATGTTTTTCTCCAAAAGCAGTCCCTAGATATCAATTATTCACAAGACGTAGAGTAACCCTACACCGTTTTATCAGCCACATTTGTTTTTGTTTTGAGCTCCTTGGTTATTCATAGACTGACTGTCCAGACATGCATATCAACTTGAAGGCGATTGATTGTAGATTGATTGATTTCAGAGACAGAAAGCACATTTTCACTATTACGAAATCAATACTTTGATTTGATGCCTGAAGACACACGTGGTAAGAGTGTGTTACAGCCATCAGTTGATCATTTACATCTCTACATTCATTATTATAAGTTTGATCATAATTGGATATTTAGGGCATGTCAGTACCGGCTTTCCCGCATGATTTGTGTTTTCAGCTTTGTGTATTGATTGGTTTTTGATTTTTTGATGTATTTTTTTTATTCCTCAACATTAATTGCTTGAAACATGCATGTTTTTAATTGAGTTTGCGTGTGTTTGTGTGTGTGTGTGTGACTGTCGGTGCAGCCGACAGCCGAGAGTGTACAGGACTCGGGACAGTCTGTCGACCCACCCTGTTAAGACGTGCCTCCCCCCCATGCTAGCTCCTCCCCCTGCCCAAGCCCCAGAGCCTGCCCCGTCCTCAGCCACAGCCCCAACAACAGACATTACCTTATCAGTCCCTGCTCTGGTCCCCTCAACGTCCCCAGGCCTTCCCCAGACGGACGTGCTCGCTGCACTGTTGGTCTTTGGGGACAGTGCGGCAGAGGGCGGTGCGTCGCAGGGCACGGTCACATCTGCTCCACGATAGGCTGGGACTGCTGTGACAGCCGAGAAAGTGTAGAGTGTGTCGGACCCCACTTTCAACTGTGAGTGCTGAGAGTTGGAGGAGTGGATGGAGGAGGGGGCAGGGATCACCCCAGGGTACTTCAAAGCCAAAACAAAGTCAATCTTAAGAAATCTCCAGTCCAAATATGCAGGAAAGACTGCAGAGCTCTGTGCGGTGTTGTTATAGCGCCGCACTGTGAAGAATAGCTGTGAGTAGACTATTCTACGTGAGCATGTGCTCCTGTGGTGTGTCCTAAAACCGTATCTAATAATTAATCTCTCAAATTGTTTAAATCAGTGGTCCCCAACCACTGGGTCGCTGACCGGTACCGGTCCGTGGGCCGTTTGGTACCGGGCCGCACAACAGAAAATTTTTTTCTGGAAAGTGTTTTATTTTGAAAATTGACCAGATTTTCTCCTAATTATGTGCGCTCGTCCCTCTGACAGATTCCCCATTGTCCTTTTACCGTGCACGGTCGAAACTGCTGACCAGCGAACACAAAGGGCGCGACTACTGCTTCCCCCCCCCCCCCCCCCCCGGTCGGACCTTCTCGACCGGTCCGCATAATGTCTGACATGAAACCGGTCCGTGAGGTAAAAAAGGTTGGGGACCACTGGTTTAAATAACTAAAACAGTTGGCCACTACCAAATTCTGAGCAAAAAAAAGCTGTGGAACCCCCACTGATTTTGCAGTTCAACCAAGCGTCAGATCGTAGGCAAAAATGGTCCGCTTGCATTAGGTCAGTATTATTAATCATCGTGAAGCGTGTAAACACAGAGCTCTGTATGACTAACAAAGGATGACTAGACCTTTAAGTGGGATACTGTCAGATTTCAACTAATTGTCAAAAAAAAGAAATCTCATTAATTGGCCTCAAATTTAAGATTTAAACTGTTGATCCCAAGCATATCTCATGTAACAGACACATACTGTTGAGCGGGCTCTATAGTTGCTCCTCTGAAGGAATCTGTTAGTCGTCCGCTGATTATTGGAATGTCATTAAAAACTCCCCAAATACTTTTTCCAAGTGTTTCCTAGTGCAAAACCATCACTCGCCTCCCTTCTCCGTCTCATCATCCTCACAGTAAATGTGACCTGCATGACTCTTGAATGCTTCCTCACTTGTGATGATTGTGTGGTACAGACTGTGATTGACTTGATATGGTGTTACCCTCAGTCTTTGGATTGTCAATAAAAGTTTAAATCAAACACAGAGGCTAAAATGTAGCATTACAGGGGCTAAACGTTGAATATTTTTCAATGAAATAGAAATATATATATATATATTTGACATCTGAAAATTGCGGCCCACCCAAACCTTTAATCACAACTCTGATCAAAACATAATGATTAAATGACCTTAAGAATTTGACATGGTGATTGTTCACTGATTAGAGTGTCAGGCAATTGGTGTTTTGCATTTTGAGGAGTTTCTGTCGAGGCCAATCGACCTTTCGTCTCCTAAACAACGGGGGAGTGGTCAGCGCAGCCGTAGCCGACTTCCACTAATGAGGGAGTATTTAACTAGAAATCGTGGGAAGCGTTAGCTTCAGCGTTTGCTTATCCTCGCAGCACGAAGACGAGCAGGACAAAGACTAGGGAGTCTTTCGTGGGAGTCTTCGGGGCGGCTGAATGCCGCGCCTTCTTCTAGTTTTAATTATGTGTTTGACCCCTTTATCCGTACCTGTCCTCTTCCCGCAGATCTGGCCTCGGGCCAGATCCGCTCTCTATGGTAACCTTTCCTCTCTCACCTATCCCACCCGCTCCACACACGTCCAGCACCTCGTCACAGGAGGCCTCTGGAACTGCCAGTCAGCTACTCGCAAGGCAGACTTCATCTCCGGCTTCGCTGTCCAGCAGTCGCTTGACTTCCTCGCTTTCACTGAGACCTGGATCACACCTGAGAAAACATCCACCCCAGCTGCTCTCTCCTCCGCCTTCTCCTTCAGCCACACACCCAGGCCCACTGGCAGGGGTGCTGGCACAGGTCTACTCATTTCACCCAAATTGAGCTTTTCCCTTTACCCTCTTCCACCATCCACCCCACTGTCCTTCGAACTCTATGCTGTAACAGTTACTCACCCGGTGCAATTAACCATTGTTGTCCTTCACCGTCCGCCAGGCTCCTTGGGTCATTTCTTGGAAGAACTGGACATTCTCCTGTCCAACTTCCCTGAAAATGGCCCGCCGCTCATCCTCCTGGGTGACTTCAACATCCAGACAGAGAAGTCATCTGACCTCTTACTCCTACTTTCTTCTTTCGCTCTGTCACTCAGTCAGAGGTCCTACCTCGACGGTCGCACCTACCGGGTAACCTGGCGAGGATCTGTGTCGGAACCTTGTCCTCTTACTACTGGAGTTCCTCAGGGTTCCGTCCTGGGTCCTCTTCTCTTCTCGCTCTACACCAACTCTCTCAGCGCTGTCATTCGCTCGCATGGCTTCTTCTACCACAGCTATGCAGATGACACCCAACTAATTCTCTCCTTCCCTCCCTCGGACACCCAGGTGGCGGCACGGATCTCTGCCTGTCTGACTGACATCTCTCAGTGGATGTCCGCCCACCATCTGAAAATCAACCCCGACAAGACTGAACTACTTCTCTTTCCAGGAAAAGACTCTCCGACCCAGGACTTGACTGTCAACTTTGGCAACTCCGTGTTAACGCCCACTTTAACCGCTAGGAACCTCGGCGTCACAATCGACAGCCAACTCTCCCTGACTCCCATTACCGCGACAACACGATCCTGTAGATACACTCTCTACAACATCAGGAGAATACGTCCTCTTCTCACTCAGAAGGCTGCCCAGGTACTGATTTAGGCTCTTGTCATCTACCTCCTGGACTACTGCAACTCGCTCCTGCAGGTCTCCCTGCTACCTCCATTCGACCTCTGCAGCTCATCCAGAATGCAGCAGCTCGACTGGTCTTTAACCTTCCGAAATTCTCCCACACTACTCCACTCCTCCGCTCTCTTCACTGGCTACCGGTGGCTGCCCGCATCCAGTTCAAAACATTGGTGCTCACGTACCATGCTGTGAATGGATCGGGTCCAGCTTACATCCAGGACATGGTCAAACCCGACATCCCGACCCGCACTCTCCGCTCTGCATCTGCAAAACTGCTCGTCCCTCCCTCACTGAGAGCAAAACACTTGACTAGATTACGACTCTTTGCTGTCTTTGCTCCGAAATGGTGGAACGAGCTCTCTGAAGACACCAGGACCGCAGAGAGCCTTCACATCTTCCGCCGCAAACTAAAGACACACCTCTTCAGACTCTACCTTGACTAAAAGACTAACAAATTGTAGCACTTAAATTGTACTTATAACGCCACTCATCTATAGCAAATTGTAAATTAGCTTATTTCAGAAAATTGCACTTTCTTGTTGCTTGTTCTTCTGAGTTTGTACCCTATGGTTGAATGCACTTATTGTACGTTGCTTTGTATAAAAGCGTCCGCTAAATGACATGTAATGTAATAATGATTAAATGACCTTTAGAATTTAACCAAAATCAAACATCCGCGAGCAAAAGTCCGTCTCGGCGAGCAAAAGTTCGTCTCTGCGAGTAACTTCGTTGCTCGCGAGGAGAATCTCTGCTCGCGCTCGAAGGAGTTTTCTACGTGCTCGCTGTTGTTCTTTTTGACAGTAAGGTGGAGACGATGCTTCCAGGGTCCGATCGATGTTGTGAGGTGCGTCGGCTCCCGCCTCCCCCCTCGCCATCCACGCCTTAAATGTTCAGCTGCATGAGCGCCGCTCAGCATCTCGCCGTCGTAGACGAGCTTTAGCATGTTTGGCAGAGCGCCTTGAGTGCCGTGTACAACCAGTATGGATCAACCGATTAACCAATTGATCCATATATATAAGGCGCTCCGGATTATAAGGCACCGTCGTTTTTTGAGAAAATTAAAGCCTTTTAAGTGCGCCTTGGAGTGCGGAAAATGCGGTATATTTACTTTAATACTACAAGAGGGCGCCGTTTGTTGAACAACGACAGGCGGACAAGAGCAGCCGTTTCGAGCGAGAGCCTTATTGTTTTATTAACCTGTCTGTTTAAATTGTTTGTGCTTCATCAACTAATGTTTCACATAACTAATGTGCCGACATCATAAATTATTTTATATTAATTTCAAACTTTTAAAAATTGAAAATTAAAAAACTTTATTTATTTATTGTAAATGACCTCTCGCGGCCCACCTGTAGTACCTTTCCGCTGATCGCTGATACATATATATGTTTTAAGATATTTAAAAAATGGGTTAAGATTAGTTAACGAGAAAAAATTAAAGCATCTGCTCTGTTTTAGTTGTGATATTCAAAATTATAGTCAAAAGGATTTCAAATATTTTGTGCCCGTAAAATGCCAATCCATAGAGAGAAGCAAAAGTATTGAAACTGGCTTTTGATATAATGTATGCAATTCTATCGAGATAAGCAATACTCAACATGTATGACTTGTGAGGTTGTGCCTGTGCCATGTGTTCAGCCACAGTCCATGGCCGAGGTGCTGGCCAAAAAGGAGGAGCTTGCGGACCGGCTGGAGAAGGCCAACGAGGAGGCCATAGCCAGCGCCATCGCCGAGGAAGAGCAGCTGACCAGAGAGATTCAGGCCGAGAACAGCGAACTGGGGACCGACAACGAAAGTGACTTCTCTGTAAGATCGATTTGTCTCATTGATGCGTGTTTGGCACCGCTCTAGTTCAACAGCTGTTTAAGTTTTCATAAACGGCACGATTGTTTACCACAGGCTAGCATCGGCAATGGAGTTGGTGGTGTCAATATTGACTGGAGCGACATGCTGGCAGATTATGACTGTTGGCGCACATTTCAGTTGTTTTGTACTCGTGTTTTCCGGCGTGTTGTTTGTGGCTTAAAATAAAAATAACTTACTTTCAAAACTTCTGAACTTAACATCGGATATGTCAATCCATTTATTTATAACAAAAATAACAAACAAAATTCGGTTCACAATCCGCCGTGCCTCACGGTCAAAAGTTATCTGCCTCACTGTGCGCCACACCTGCACTAATTAGCCCTGGTGTTAAATAGGCTGGTGGCAAAAACAGCGCCATCCCATTGCAGTATTCAGAATGGCTCCAACACAACCGGCCCCTAATTGTTCATGGCACTTCAAGACATGACAATTCTAAGCAATTCATGTATGGAGACATTCATACAACGAAAACAACGTTTGCAAACAAAAATAATAAACAAATAAACAAACAAATCGACCCTCTTTTGGTGCGTTTGTTTTACTTTTACATTGACTGCTCTACCAATAGTCCTAGTTTTGTCACTGGTCTTTCAATTACATTTGTTTTGGTTTTGATTTGCACAGATCTAACTATGCCTGATTTGTCTGGAAAGGATTTAATAATCCTTCCAATCATCCAAGAATTTCGTGGTGCTGTAGCATCTGCAATCAAAACAATATCTCCTTCCATAAGATTACGTTGTGTTTTGTTCCACTTTTGTCTTTCCTGTAGCGTTGCAAGATACTCTTTCGTCCACCTTTTCCAGAACAAATCTGAAAGATACTGAGCCTGTTTCCATCTTCGTCTTACGTACTGGTCCTTTTGATCAAACAGACCTGGAGGCAAAACTGGTTTTCGTTTCAAAGTAAGAAGATGATTAGGTGTTAGTGGCTCTAAATCATTAGGATCCTCAGAAACTCTCGTAATTGGTCGGTCATTCAAGATTGCTTCGGCTTCGCATAAGACTGTGACTAACGTTTCATCAGTTAGAGTCTGTAGATGTAAAACAGATACCAAGACCTTCCTGACCAGTCTGATCATGCTTTCCCAAGCACCGCCATGATGGGAAGCTGCAGGTGGGTTGAACGTCCACTTGATATTGTCATGAATTAAAGCCTTCTCAATTGATCTGTGGTTTAAATCTGCAATTGCTCTTTTCAGTTCCTTTTCTGCACCTGTGAAATTTGTGCCATTGTCTGAGCGAAAGTGTGCCACGGGTCCTCTTCGGCATATGAATCAACGAATAGCACTGATGCAGGAGTCTGTGTCTAACGAGTGTGCCACTTCTAAATGAATTGCCCTGCTGGCCATGCATGTAAAGATAACTTCATAACGTTTCACATAAGAACGTCCTTGTTTTACCTCAATAGGCCCAAAATAGTCCACGCCCACGTTAGTAAATGGAGGGAAGTCTGGAGTAATCCTCTCTTTGGGAAGATCCGACATCTTTTGATCACACAATTTTCCTTGGTGACGTCTGCAAAAAGGACAATTTGACAAGATTTTCCTTGCTGCTGCGTTGGCATGAGTGACCCAGAACTTTTCTCTCAATTTGGAAAGGATGTAATTTCTCCCACCGTGTCTTGTCTGTTCATGAATATTTTTAAGAATTAACATGGAGATGTGCTGATCTTTACACAGGATGACTGGATGTTTGCTCTCTTCGGGCATTGCAGTCCTGGACAATCTTCCACCAACTCTTACCAGTCCTTCCTCTAAGACAGGATTCAGCTTGTAGATAGGGCTACACCCTTTTACAGGTTTTCCTGTCTTTAGTGCACAAATCTCAGTGTCAAATCTTTCCCTCTGACAGAACTGAAGGATAGCGTTTTCTGCTGCTAATAGATCCTCCGTTGATACACGTTCTCGTTTGAACGACTTTCTGGCTTCCAACATTTTTCTGTCAACATCAAGATTAGCCATTCCATCTTTCACAAGTTGCTTCCTTCTTTGACTCAACTCCAATAGAGTCCCTTTGACCAACAGCAACCATGCAACTGCGACTTTCAACCTTTTCCAGTCAGAGAAATAGGTGATGAGTTGGCTGGTTGCATTATCCACTTGAATGGTTATTGCGTTTGTGGAGATTTCCACTTTGACCTCTGGATCATCCTCCTCCAATGTGGACTCCACTTCGTACTGTAACCATGTTTCTCTTGCTCTCCACAGAAATTCCGGACCTGATAGCCATGTTTTGCTGTTCAAAAGCTTATGGACTGTCAGTCCTCTAGATGTGTCATCTGCAGGATTTTGTTTTGTGTGAACATAGCGTCACTGTGCTGGCTCTGAAGATTCCCTAATGATGGCTACTCTGTTGGCCACAAATGTTCGAAACCTTTTGTTTTCATTGCTGATGTACTTCAAGACTGTAGTACTATCAGTCCAGAAACAGGATTCTGACAAAGAAAGCTGTAACTTTGATTTTACCATCCTGTCCACTCGAACAGCTAAAACGGCAGCAGTGAGTTCCAAACGAGGAATGGTTACGGGTTTTAGAGGTGTTACTCTGGACTTTCCAAGAAGAAAGGAAATATGAACATGACCTGCTTTGTTCTGTAACCTTAGGTAAGTTACCGTGCCATAGCCCCTTTCGCTGGCATCGGCAAAGTGATGCAACTGGGCGTGGACTGGTGTTCCAAAGTCATGTGGTTTCAAGCACCTACTCACTCGGAACTCTGAGATCTCGTTCAGGTCAGTTAACCACTTTATCCACTGCTGTTTTAAGGTTTGTGGAACTTCTTCATCCCAGCCATAGTTCCTTTTGCACAACTCTTGTAATATGTGCTTGGCTGGAAGAAGGACTGGCGCAACGTACCCTAAGGGATCGTACACTGCACTAGTGACTGATAGAATCCCTCGCCGTGTTTGCATCCGTTCTTTGCAGTTCACATGGAAGTTAAACTTGTCATTTTCCAGACACCAATGTAGCCCCAGTGCTCTTTCCACCGGAAGTTGGTCTATGTCCAAATTTAGTTCACTCACACTTTTAGAATGTTCTTTCTCAGGAATTGTTTCAAGGACTTTGCGGCTGCTACTTATCCACTGTGTAAGATGAAACCCTCCTTTCTGGCAAAGTTCAGTCAGGTCCTGGACAATCTGTACTGCTTTCTGCACAGACGGTGAGCTTTTCAGACAATCGTCCACATAGAAATTTTTATATACCGTGTCAATCACCTCCTCCGAAAACCCATTCCGACTGTCCTCTGCTGTCTTCCTTAGAGCATAACATGCACAACTAGGCGACGACACTGCTCCAAAGAGATGTACAGTCATTCTATATTCTTCAACTTGCTTGTGCAGATCTCCATTAGGCCACCACAGGAACCTTAGAAAGTCTTTGTCTTCGTCGGCCACTCTAACTTGATAGAACATAGACTTCACATCAGACATAAAAGCAACTGGTTCTTGTCTGAATCGTAGAAACACTCCTATTAAGGAACTTGTAAGGTTCGGACCCTGCAGAAGTTGTTCGTTCAAAGAAGTTCCTTTAAACTTAGCTCCACAGTCGAAGACAACTCGCAACTTGCCCTTCCGTGGGTGATATACTCCATGATGAGGTATATAGAACAGGTTATCTTCTCCACAACGCAATTCATCCTGTGGTACCATTTCTGCATAGCCACTGCTGATGACATTTTCCAGAAAGCTTGTGTATTCTTGGTGGAATTTCTCATTTCTTTCCATTTTCCTTCTTAGTCCAATGAGGCGCTGTTGAGCAATACAACGGTTGTTTGGCAGAGTTACCTCTTGGGCTTTACATGGCAGCTTTAAACTGTAATGTCCGTCCTTTAACTTTACAGATTGATCCATTATTTTAATGAATCTTGCCTCTTGCCTTGACATTTCTTCATTGTCGTCGGCGATTTTCTCATTGAAGTCACTTTGGTACTGCTTCTCCAATAACAGCTGAAGTGATTCTACAGATAATCTGTTTACAGAAACAGAAAGATAGCCAATGCCATTCCTATTGTCTTTGGAATCCTTTCCTAAGCCATTGATCACCCACCCTAATTGGGTTTTAACAGCAAAAGGACCCTCACCTTGGCTATTCACAATTTCCCATGGTTCTAGCAACTTTGAAGCATTAGTACCTATTAATAACTCCACGGTAGCATCAATTTCAGGGATTTCAATGTGATCAAGGTAAGGCCACTGTGATATGTCCTCTGGTTTTATGATGTTTGCTGTGTCAACTGGCATCTTTTTCTGTGTGTAAACATTTGGAAGACTGTAGTACCTTGTTCCATTAAGGCTAGCTACTCCATTAAGGCTAGGCTAAGTCCATTCACAATGTATGTTGACACTGATGTCTTTGGGCTCATCGTTAACAAACCTATTTTTGACTTTGTTCCAGTAAGATTAAGTCTACGCATAAGAGCTTCAGAGCAGAATGTGGATGTCGAGCCATTGTCCAGAAAAGCATAAGTCTGAATGACCTTGTTGCCCTTTTGTGCTTTTACCTGAACTGGCAGGATGGAGAGCATTCCACTACCACCGGCCCCGGTCTGGCTCCCAAATGTCTGAGCTGACACAAGCGTATGGTTTACAGCTGGTTTAGGTTCCTTGGGATAGATGCCACTGCTGTTCATCGATTTGTCCACTTGTTTGACGGGAATGTGTAAAGCTGTTGGATGGCTCTGTTTGCATTTTTCACAGGTTTTCCGCTTATCGCAATTTTTGCTCAAATGCCCAATGTTGAGACACCCAAAACATACTCCTTTTTCCTTTAAGAAGTTGATCTTTTCACGATGTTTGTTTTTTGCAAGTCGTTGACATTCATCCAGACTGTGATCTTGCAAACAGAATAAACAATTGATGCCGATGTTGCTCTCCCTGTGTTTACCTTCTTGTGTGTCCCTGCGTTGCACTTTGCTAACAGCACAGACGTTTGTAGCAAAGCTACCTTGCTTCGACCTAGGCTTGGCTGTATACACATCCCTTTTAACCTGCCTCTCTCTTTCAGTAGTTTGAATATCACCAAAAATAGGATCAGACAAGATTTTTACTTCATATTCCACAAAGTGTACAACGTCTTTAAAGTTAGGTTTGCGGAGTTGTCGCTCCCGAATACCGCAAGCAGAACTTCTAAATTTTTGAAACAATAATTTTGTGGTTAGCCAGCAAGTCCAGCTCTTTCATGTCCTCCAAATCTGACATTGCATTATAGCATCCACGTAGAAATAATGCATAGTCCTGTAGAAACAAAACACCTTCAGGCTTCACCACAGGCCAGAACCTTTTCCATATATGCTGCTGTAATCTTTGTTTCATTGCCGAAGTGTTCCCGTAGGAGAGCTTTAGCCGTTTCAAAACCTCTCTCCGCACTCATATGTAAACAGCTTTGCACAAGGTCGTGAGGACGCCCCCTGGTGTACCTTTCAAAAAAATACATGCAATCCCCTTTAGATGCAGCTTTCTCCTCCACACAATGCTTAAAAGCTTGCATGAACATTTTGAACTTCAATGGGTCACCTTCGAAAACAGGTAGTTGTCTAGGTGGCAGTTGGCTTGCTTTGTGTTGTTGTAAGAGCAGCTCGGATATTTCATTTTGCCTTTGCAGAATCTGTTGTGTAGAAGTGTCATCAACTGCATGTGCAACATTAGCAGTAGATAAACCTTTATTAATCATCAATCTTGTAGATTTTTCAAACTTCGCCTCAGAAATGTTAGGGCTTTCTTTTGATTTTTGCTTCTCAATGTACGACTCCATACCATCCTGATCTGAAAATGTTTGCAGTACTGCCAATTCTGCATCTGAGGCTTCAATCTCAGTATCCATTTCCACCTGTTCCAGTTTTTTCCTTATTGATGCATTTAGTGCATGATGATGTACCAACATTTGATACACTATCCGTTGGCTTTATATCATCCTCAAGGGCAACGGTTTCAGTAGTACCATTATTTGCACTCTTAAAACGATTTTCTACGCAATGGCAAAATTCGTTCACACTTAACAGCTTTGCTTTGAACCAGGTTTCATGCCTTTCCTTTTCATCTACGGGTAGCAACTCAAGCAGTTGGTTATGTGCAACTTTTGCGTCTTTAATCAAGGCTTGATATTTGCTGAAGCTACCTTTTATTTCAGCTTCATAACCAGACTGACACATTAACCCTTGAACAGTTTGTTTTATATTGGCAGCTTTACTTAACTTGGATTTCCTTAGTGTCTCTACGCCACCTAGTTTGGAAAGCAGTACTTTTTGTGTCAATTTTACAGACCTTTTTTTCAGAGGCTTCATCCTCATTAACCTTTTGTAAGTCAGCTGACACATTTGTTACCTCAGTACCTTGATGATCTTCATCCATTTTACCTTGTTTTCCAGTCAACCACCCAGAAAACAGCAATATTTCACAATATCATGAAAACGAGCATCAGAATAAAAAACAAACCATTAACACTTTCATTTTCTTGCAAACCCAAATGTCTCTTATTTCAAGTCCTCGTTGGAAAATGTCAATGTCGATAAACCAAATGTCCATCCATTGTGTTCTCGTCAGTCCTGCCGTTTACACTTTAATAACTGCAGGCAGCTCTGCTTCATTCCTTCTTACTCGTGTGTGTTAACTGCTCATACCTCGCGGCTCGTTCCAGGTCCAACCAACTTTTCTTCACTTGGTGACGTAGTGTCCAATCCTCACTGACCAATGTGAGAACGCTCACCAACCTCCGTCGTGACCGAGTTCGGACTGCCTCACTATCCACTGTGAGGCTCCAGCGTAGTTTCACCGACATCCGCTACCAATCACCGCTACCGGTCACCGTCCTCCGCCGTCGATCCCCGCTACCGGTCACCGATCTCCGCCCGTGGCTGCGTGGTTTGCTCCACTGTCCAATGTGAGACGCGCTGCGCCCGTAGAATACGACTAACGCTACATCCAAAGCACGCGACAGCGTTTCCATTCAGCCGATCGCCGTCGAAGACAAGGTGCTCAAACAGCACAAGGATCGTACCGTCTAAACTTGATCGGTCTTTTTCTCATACTGAGCCAAACTTTTGACTAATTGTTGGCGCACATTTAAGTTGTTTTGCACTCGTGTTTTCCGGCGTGTTGTTTGTGGCTTAAAATAAAAATAACTCACTTTCAAAACTTCTTAACTTAACATCGGATATGTCAATCCATTTATTTATAACAAAAATAACAAACAATTCGGTTCACAATCCGCCGTGCCTCACGGTCAAAAGTTATCTGCCTCGCTGTGCGCCACACCTGCACTAATTAGCACTGGTGAAATAGGCTGGTGGCAAAAACAGCGCCATCCCATTGCAGTATTCAGAATGGCTCCAACAATGACGGTATGGATGTCAACACCCGAAGGGAAACTCAGGCTCTTATTCTTTGTCATGGCAAACATTACACTGATCGGTTCACTTTGCTTCCCCGTCCGTCTTGTAGCTCGTGAGCCATGGCGTCAGAGTAACTCATGGGGGGACATAGTGGACCGGCTCGGCCTCCCGGACATGGAATTCACATGCACGAGAAATTGTCCTCACCGTCCCGCAAAAGGTGCAAATCATTTTCTTGGTGGAGCACATCTGACCTTAATTTATATCTATTTATTTAATGTGGATTTAACCCAGCAGCCTGAGTCAAAGACTCACTGCATATGACCTTTTTCTTTATGAGTTACCACCCAGAACGTCTAAACAGACCCTAGTGCCTATCAGAGTCTATGTCTGCCTTTGTCGATAAGGAGGTTGAGATGAATGATTTGTTTCCATGTTTTTGACAGAACCATCACCGAGTCAAAGAAGAAACATGAGGAGAAACAGCTGAAGGCGCAGCAGCTGAAGGACAAACTCCGTGAGGAAAAGACGCTCAAACTGCAGAAGCTCTTGGAGAGGGTGAACACAAGACGTGCAGATTTGACGGAAAGCACCCTGAACAATCCCTGTGCAAGCCCAGCCTGGCTCGTAACGAGAGGTTTTGTCAGCACGCCTGATAGAATCACTAAATATTACAACCCCCTAAAGTCGCATCCAGGCCAGCTGGCCGCAGACGGCCATGAGAGAGCCCGCCATGGCCGTTTTTGTTCGCCAAGCCGTGGCAAGATGATTGAGACCTAGAATAAATTAGAGCTCACCAGGTAAAATCATAACACCCCTTCGTCACACACTGGTCAGGGTAGAAACTGAAAAATGGAGAATCCTTTGTCTGTGATTCTGCAGGAGAAGGAGGTGAGGAAATGGAAGGAGGAGTTGTTGGAGCAGGGTCGGCGGATGATGGACGAAAAGCTGTTGCACGCAGAGTTGAAGCGAGAGATTCAGCTCCAGGCGATTGTGAAGAAGGCCCAAGAAAAAGAGGCCAAGGTAGAGACCGTTGAGAAGTTGTACATTTAATGTTTTAAATTAAATGCATACATACTGAAGGCAGAGTCAACATTTTTCATGTTAAATACTTAATCCTTAAAACTTGTGTTATGTTTACTTACACACGATGGGCTGTTTGTGTGTTCATATCCATCATATCTATCAATGATAAGTAAATGTCTGTACAGGTCAATGAAATTGCATTTATCAACACTCTTGAAGCCCAAAACAAGAGGCATGATCCCCTGGCCAAGTTGAATGAGTACGAGCAACGCCTCAACGAGCTGCAGGATGAGAGGCAGAGGAGACAAGAGGAGAAGCAAGCCAGAGATGAGGCTGTGCAGGTGCTATTCAAACCAACGCTCGATTTGAATGGAATAATTCCACTTGTCCCCAAAGTATCATTTGGCGTCATCTTTCCCAAAATCACCTGTTCCCTGTGTAGGAGCGGAAACGGGTCCTTGAAGCTGAGCGGCAGGCCCAGGTGGAGAAGCTGCTGGTGCGGAGGAAGGAGCAGGAGGCTCGTATTGAACAGCAGAAGCAGGAAAAGGAGAAAGCTCGAGAAGATGCAGCACGGGAAAGGGCCAGGTGTGAATTCCCAAATCCCTTCAATAGTGTACACAGGGTGGATGATTTAATTACAACAGCCACTTTTGATAAATGTGAGACTTGTATTTCTTTGTACAGTTGTTGCATCTCTGTTTTCTATTTCCTCGATCTGTAGGGATCGAGAAGAGCGTCTGGCTGCTCTTAGCGCTGCACAACAGGAGGCCATGGAGGAGCTCCAGAAAAAAATACAGCTGAAGGTGCGTTTCAATCATGACATTTCCACTGAGCACCATCCTGGAACCCCCCCGTTTCCCATATGATCCTTTGGCTCTGGTTCCTTCCTCAGCATGACGAGAGCAGCCGCAGACATATGGAGCAAATCGAGCAGAGGAAGGAGAAGGCCGCTGAGCTGAGCAGCGGTCGACACGCTAACACAGACTACGCCCCCAAACTGACGCCCTATGAGCACAAGAAACAGCGTTCCCTGTGCTGCGTTGTGGTATGTACAGGTACATCCCATCAGAGCCCATGTCGCTGTCACTAAGCTCCATGTTTATCCACAGCACAACCCCCCATGACATAAATACAATACAACGTCCTGATAACTAACAATTTTGTTAGGCAGACTGAACACACAAATGCGGAGGAAGGTGATTCTGAGGGTCTTTGGAAGAGGGCATATTTAAATGAGGATTTAACTGCATTGATTTAAAACCCGGACCATTAAACAAAGATTTATTACTGGGCATGGTTATTCTTTTTCGAATGGCGGGCAACAAATCCACAAGCAGACATATTTATCTCTGACAGACGGGCTTCCCTGACAACAAGGGTGGGACACCTTGAGTCTTCCAGCATCAGATAAAGAGGAGAGTTGGAAGACAAACAGGGAATCTTGTTAAAATATTGGATGACCTTGGCCAGCATCTGACACCAGAGGTCATGGGTGGGTCAGCAGCAAGCACTTTAATGACATTAAACCCAAACCATTTAAAATGGGCTGGTTTCCCGAGATGGGAGAACAGCACTGGTGTGAATGAATAAGAAAATTATTATATTATTTTGAATCAAGTTGTTGTTTTGAGTGGTTTACCCAGCGTTACTCTTTTGCTCAATTAGTATTCTAAAAACATATATCCAAGTTTCACATATCATCCCATTTCCCTGCCTACGTCTTTGCTTTAAATTGAGGTTCGGGAGAGAGACAGGTTATGTCCCATTGAGGGGGGGGAAAAAAGCCAATGCATTATATTGTTTCACCAGAATCCCATGGGACTCTCATGTTGACCCTTTCCTGCCTCGGTCTCCATTGTTTCCACAGCAGTGACCTCTGACCAGTGTGTTTGTGTTTGTAGATCACATCAGAGGTGCACCTGTTCAGCCACACCAAGGGCAAGAGGCACCAGCAGGCCGTGCGCGACAGTAGCAGCATCCAAGGACGGGAGCTCTCTGACGAGGAAGTGGTGCGTATTAGAGGGTGGATACCCGACCCGAACCCGTCGGGCCGGGTTCGGATAAATATTTAGAAAATGTAGTCGGGCTCGGGTCGGGTTTGGACAAAATAGTTTAACGGCTGTCAGACTCGGGTCGGACTCGGGCCCAACTCTGTTCGACGCGGGCCGGGCTCGGACAGAAAAGTCGGCCCGATCCATGCTAGTGCGTATCACCCACACCCTGCCGGGAACAAACATCCACTCATCCTGTCGAAGATTACCGCTGCATGCGCCACATTAAAAGGACAAAGAGACACCGTGGTTGCCTTTTACGGCGTGGCCTTTATTATTGTTGGAATACATTAAGCATTCCAAGTATTGTTCTTCGAATCTTTAATGTTGGAATGCATTAAGCATTCCAAGTATTGTTCTTCGAATCTTTATTCCAACATCTTTTTGTTGGAATGCATTAAGCATTCCAAGTATTGTTCTTCGAATCTTTATTCCAACAATTTTTTTTTTAATTGTTATTGTTGGAATGCATAAAGCATGCTATGACTTTTTACCTTTCTACCTCTTAAGCTTGAATTTATATAAATCAATAATCATGAATATTTCTTCTAATGGTTTTCCAATGGAGATCGTGTTCAAATCCTCTTAAACTTCTTTAACTTTCAGATTTTTCAGCTTCGCCAATCTTTCAGCTACAGACACCATTTCAACTTTCAAATGTTGACACAGGTCTCAACTGTTTTATGAAAAAAACTGCTTGTTGTTGGAATGCATTAAGCATTCCAAGTATTCTTCTTCTATTATTATTATTCTATTTCTTCCGTGGCACCTTTCAACTCCTTCAGACTTTCAGCTATTAAAACCGTTCAAATATTAAAATGTTCAGCTTCTTTCCGGCTTCCGGGCTATGACGTTTCAGCTTTCTACCTCTTAAGCTTGAATTTATATAAATCAATAATCATTAATATTTTAACATGGTTTTGAAATGGAGTTTGTTTTCCAAATCCTCTTAAACTTCTTCAACTTTCAGATTTTTTAGCTTCGCAAATCTTTCAGCTACAGACACTATTTAAACTTTCAAAGTCTCAACTTTTTTATGAAAAAAACTGCTTGTTGATATCTATTGTACTTTTTTCATAATCACTGATTATGTTTCACTAGTTCTTCGCTCCGTTTCTGCCTTTTACATGAGTGTGTATTGCGTCCGCTAGAGTGAGCCCCGGAGATCTTAGAGTGTGGGGCAGCGCCAGAATTTGGTTAAAAAAATATGGAACTTCTGTCCTTGCAGCCAAAGTATACACTCTTGAGGCTTCATTTATTCAGATTAATGAGGGCATGGTTGTGCTGATTGGATTAATGTGTTCATAGAATCCCAGAGTTCTTTAGTTTTGGCCTACGGAGACCAACGGTCACACAACCTCTGCTAAAAGCCCCATAGGCGCCAATACAAATCTGCCGACATATTTCTCAAAAAATCCAGAAGGTACACGTTTTGTAAATGGCCACGGGAGCCGTATTTTTTACCGGACAGACACGAAAACGACATATTTTCGTTCGGTACAGTCTTGGGTCTCGCACAAACTTCTTATTTTTTAGATAGCTGTTATAGTTTTGTGCTAGAGGACACTTGTTTGAGGTGTGGTTTCTTGGTAAAATCTGTTTACTCTGCGCGGTCTGTGATCAGCCCCCGAAAACAGCAGCTGCGCCGTCTCCATGACGACCACACAGCCTCATGCCAGCACTCACTCTCCCTCCCCTACGTAGTCTGACAGACACACAGACCTACGTGGGGAGAACACGGCGCTATCTAGCATAGTGCTAACATGACGCTATGCTAGCTAACATGGCGCTAGCTAGCATTTCACCAGCAATAACAGATCCACAAATGGCTAAAACAGTGTGCCAGCACTACTCTCCCTCCCCTACATAGTCTGACAGACACACAGGCCAACGTGGGAGGGAACATGGCGCTAGCTAGCATAGCGCTAACAAGGCGCTAGCTAACATTGCACCACCACTAACCAAACGGCTGACAAGTGGCCAAAGAAAATCTCTCATCTCTTCAGATAGCTAGCTAGGCTGTCTTTGATTGCCTTTGTGGCACTGACTGTGGCAGCTTCTCTCATTTCTGTATTTCCAGTTCTTTAAAATAATTTCAGCTTTTCTTATGCCTGTATTAACAGCAATGTTTTAGTGTTCATTTCTGTATTTTTTGCAATTTTTCAAATTCATTTCAGCTGTTTTCATTTCTGCTTTTTCAGCAAATCTATTGAAATTTCTGTCAGCTTCTCCCATTTCTGTATTTTCAGCAATTTCAAATTAATTTTTAGTAAATGTATTAAAATTCCCTTCAACTTTCTGTAATTTCAGCAATTTTCTGAAGTTCATTTCAGCTTTTAGCATTCCAATGCATTTTCAGCAGGAAATGCATTTTCTAGTTGTTTATGCATCCCCTTGTATACCGCCGAGCCTCTGTTTAGTTTGGCTTTGTGCGCATACAAATGGGCCTTGAAATGCACACAGTTAGGGTTTAGTGCATCAGTGGAGGGGTGACATCACCCCTTTTTTTCTCTCTGGAGCGCTTCTTCATGGGAAGGAAGCTCATTAATGCAAGGTAACCTCTCAGGCTGCAATATGAGATTGGCTTTTCAGCAGTGGTCATTGTGAGGCTGACAACTGTTGGTACTATACGCAGCACCTTTGGCCCCAGCAGCTCCTTCATTCAAAGCTTCTTTTTTTTTCAGCAAGGAATAATTGATACCCCCTCCTTCCTTTCCTCTAAATCATTTCCTTTCCAAATTGCGGGCATTTTTTCTGTTTGACAGTGTGATAAACAAGGCAACATGGAGAAGCACTATAAACTGCACAAATTCATATACATTCATAATCAGTCTTTCCGTATGAAACAGTTTTAGCAATGACCATAATGTTGAGGCTTTACTCTTTTTCCACTTTCCATATTGTCTTTTCGTAAATAGTAATCAGTCAAAGTTTAAGCCAGTCGGCTAGTTATCATTGGATTATTTTTCAGTGTAGAATCTCCAACAGATGACATCTAGAGGTCTAGAACTGCCTTTTCTTTTTCTATGTGAAAGTACATTAAGCTGTCCAATATCTCTGCGCCTGGATACTTTGTTTATATAGACTTATGTGGCTCCTTGTTATTTATATCAAATCTCATTCGTACCAGTGCCAACTATTTTCCAGACCGCAGCTCCATAACTCTTCCTGCAATGAAAGATTTTTAATTGAAATGAAGATGGTTGGTTCTACTGTGCAGAGGTCACACCATAGTTTTTCAACAGAAGCGGACGACAGATGCCCTGTGCCTTCATATTTGGTCCTTCCCTCATATTCTGACTTGCGAATTAAATTGAAAACACAAAAATGATCAGCCGTGTAGGATCGATGGATGGGGAGCGAGCTTGAATATTGCAATTACTCTTTTCGTCCACCATCTCTCCTGGTTTAATATGGTGAAGGTAATATTCAAGACGCGTGACTACTGACACAAGGTCTTTATTTATTGATCACCTTTTAGACACGGCAGATAAAAAGAAAACCGAGAGCCCTCTCTGTAAGCACAGCCGATCACCAGAGGGTATCAGGGCCCACTTCCCAAAGACACTGAGCGGTGCCGCTAACGTTCTCATAGCCAAAGCTGCGCTCATTGCCCGAAAATTGAGAACCCTGATGAATTATCCTGCCAGCCAGCTGAAGCGAGCCTCTCCCCCCCACGCTGCTTTGAGACATTTGTCCAGTTCTGCATCGTATTGTTTAAATTGGGTTACATTCCCTCGTCTCCTGGCGGAAATATCCAAATTATCCCAAAGGCAACACCTCCAGCCTTCTAGCATGTCCATGGGCGAGTAGCTCCTAAACACTGCAGAGCATTGCTGGTAATTACAGGATACAATGGTGTTATTGAGCCGTATGGATCTAAATGTCACCCAATGTATTCAGGGCCACATCTGAGGCGTATAACCTCAACCGAAAGACATTCAACAGGAATTTTAATTGCTGTTCTGTTTTCATTGTCATTTTAGAGAATAAGTTCTTCCTGTTTGCTTTAAAGTAATTGTGTCTATAGTGTTGGTGAAATCCTTTGCTTTAATGTACAAGCTGCATCATAATGTTGTAGCTGACCTTGTTTGTTGCCCCCTTTAACGATGCATCATATTGCATTTCATGTTTTGTAAATATACTGTTGATTTCAAAATTTTACATGCACTTAAAAGTGCAATTATTTCCTTTTTTTCCTTTCCACGCAGAAATGGTTATTTCAGTAAAAAGCCATAACAATTGCCTGCAATGTCTTTAATGTATTGAATGTGTCTACTACAGGAGCACCTTTCCTTGAAGAGGTACATTGCGGATATAGTGACGGACAGCTCTGTGTCTTCTGAGAACGTAAAGGACGGAGAAGAGAGACAAAAGGCCCGGAAGAAAGCCAAGAAGTTCCGCGCCAGAATGAATGCGAGGTAATGCGTCCGTTTTCTCTCTCTCTCTCTCTCTCTCTCTTCCTGTTTCTTCCTCTGCAAACTTGCATCCTCTGGCACAGAGGATACAAGTTTGCCAGGACTTTTATTTTATGAGTGACAAGGAGATGGAAAGCAGATGTTATGAGCATCCTGGCTGTCTGCGAGGTAACACTGATGAGCTTAATTTATGACCACTCTCTGCGATTGGGGAGCAGAACTGCGCATCGATCCGTAGGGGCCCCCGGCTTTCACCCGTAAAGAGCTTTCCGCCAAATTGCTTCCCTGGCATGGCCAAATCTGAAGCCTACCTCCGTACGGGAAGTATGTTAAAGTATGTATGAGCCATGCCTGTTTTCCTTCTTCGCTATTGATTTTTAAATGAAAATCCATAGTAATCAACAAATAGGCGTAGCTGCTGTGTGTCAGAACCGGGACCCGAGCCTGGTCAGTTTGACTATCATGACAATACTTACTGTAAAATCTTTATAATGCAGATTATTCAAGGTATTTCACCACAAACAGTAAAACATTAATATATAAGATGACCCCTCTAAAGACGATATGTTGTATCCTAAAAAACAAAAGCAGAGGCATAAAGTAAGATATGGCCTGGTCAATCTTCGCCGGTGGCCGAGAAACCACTTGAGAAACACAATGAGAGGGATTGTTAAGCAGCTGTGTCCCACTTCTAATGTGCCGTCCATCTAGCGTTCACGACCCTTTCCATTGCAGTCAAACGTAAGTGTGAGTGAAGGAATAGATCATTAATTATTATTAGTCTATTCAGGAGAAAGTGGAAGCGGAGGAAGGAGGGGAACCTCCAGGCTGAAACACTGAAGCTGCCACAGTGAAACACTCTCAGCGCTGCTGCTTTGGCCTTTGTGAGGCTCCGCGCTACTGAGGGAGGGACAACATGATCCGTCTCTGTTCACCGTCACCCTGCTGAGACTAGCACTCACAGGCTGCAGGCCTTCAGAGGTCATAAATAACACAGAGCCCCAGTAAACATAAAGGTGAGCCGCTTCACCGCTGGGTGGAAATGAGGCGTCTCATTGGAACGCCGCGTGGTGCCTCGCTCTGTCACATAGTGGCAAACACACGTTTTAACCCGAGTTTCTTTTTTTTCTTTTCTTTTTTTTGCGGTTTGGCTAACCTTTTTAATAATACGCAGAGCTTTGGGAAGGAAAAAAATGCTATTGACTTTTCTCGTAAGAGGTCTGTCAGTTAGTGTCAGGATGGGTTTTGAACTTGGAAACCAAAGTCTCCGCTTACGCTCTGGTACGAGCTGCGTGTCTGTAACCGGCCGCTGGTAGTGTGTGTGTGTGTGTGTGTGTGTGTGTGTGTGTGTGTGTGTGTGTGTGTGTGTGTGTGTGTGTGTGTGTGTGTGTGTGCGAAGTATTAGTATAACCGTTGGTTGTTGTAGGCTCTTCATTTATTTATTGCCAGTGAACCAATACAGGTGCTGTTGTGTTCTGAACTGCTTGAATTGATTTATATAATTGTGCTTTCAATTTTTTTATATTTATTGCTGGGGGCTGCTTTTGACAGAAATGAATTGCTCGCTGTTTAACCTTTTTATGTATAAACCTGTCTGATATTGATATTTTAATATAATGAATAATACACCGGGGTGGATATATAGTTATACACCCTTCTGAAAACAACTCTGTGTTACTCATTACGACTACATGCTACTCACCAGATAAAGGGATTACATATTAATATCCACTGTCACAACCTGCTTTATGGAGATTGATTTGTGATGCAGTAATAGTGAGCCATTTTATTTTTCTCTTTTTATTACCTTTTATATGTCTGGTCTTGCTTTTTTGTGGTACTTTTTGTAGTCTTAGAGAGATACCTCTATAGATACAAACGGCAAACAATCAAAACCACGAAACAACAAACTTACTATCTCTAAATACTTCATCGTACACGTATGGCCTGCCGGGACAAATCCACCTGTTGTCTTCCGGGAAGTTTTCGATCCTATCGGTGTGGATACGGGTAACCGGAAGGCGCTCAATCTGACTCTGATCAATAGTTACTTATCGTGTCTGGGAATACCTGACTGACGGATAGAATCGCCCACCCAATAATTCCACACACAAGCACACGCTTTGTGTTTCTCCGAGTCTGGCTGTTGGAGTAGTGCCCCATAGATACCGGTCCCCTAATGACTATGACCTTTTACAAGGTCAGGCATTCAAAATACTGCTTCTAACCCCCTTCAACTGTTTATTTGAGAATGAGTGAAGAACTTGAGCCTCCCTTGTTAGAAAATGGCTCTCAAAAACGGCCGGTTTTAGAGTAGAATCCGGCCTTCGTAATTTCGACGGCAGTGAAACGCTCGTCCCCACAGAGCTGGTGTCTGATTATTTTAAGCCAAGTTACTTGGTGGACGGCTGACAGGCCAAATAAACACACTCAGTTTGAACTCTCTTCACACTTTCATCCTTTGTGTTCTTTACTGACAGGGCAAACTTTTTCTTTTCTGCTATTCAAAGACTTTCTCCTACTTTTCCTTCTGCAGAGCGAAGGAATACGAGAAGTCAACGACTGGCACGATACAGGCAATGACACCGGTCTCTGACTCCCCGTACAAGGCCAAGTGAGTGTTTAAATTATTTATAGCTTCATACGCTTTCTTCATTTTTGATAACTTGATGATTATAGCCGTGTAGGCCGGCAACTGCCAATTGTTTTCGTTTTAATAGAACCCAAACTGCATGGTATATTCATAGCTAACTATTTTCCCATGTATTTGAAGAAATATTAACATGACGTTGCTGAATTAGGCATTTTGCTTAGAAAATTATCCAAATAGTTACAGATTCAAAATCTTTAGATTTGATAAGATTAAACTGCCCTTTTAAAAATATATATTTCTAATTGTATGCACGAAGGGTTTCATCTCTTCCGTCATGAATAGTTGGCTGAAGCGGGTGGACACTTGGGAACAGCTTTCCTACATGTCCTGGCTCTCGTATGTTCAGGTTTCAGCGGCTGGTGAAGGACCTGTTGAAGCAGCTGCAGGGTCAGGACGGCGGCCAGAGCGCCAACAACAAAATGTCGGGCCTGGACAGAACTCTGGGAGAGATGTCTCGCATCTTGGAAAGAGAGGTAGACCAGAAAATCTATTCCATGGATACAGTGTGAACGTGTCAGATGCAGATTGCATAAGTGTGGTGATTGTTATTTCAAGATATCGGTTCTATATTTGTTACCAACCTGTCACTTTCCTTTACCGTCCATCTCAATCCTTGCTTGTCTACCACTCAGCATGTGCACAGGTCATGCCAGCCCTTTGGCATGTCTCCTCCGTGATGAGTTGTGTTTGGGTATGTCGCTCCGTGTCTCACCCTCCCCACGTAGAGTATCACTTACTCCAAACCAACTTGCCTTTGGTTATTGGCTAATGAAGACCAGATTAACTGTGTTTTCACTGTGCACATGGTACCAATAGAGACGCTTCCAAGCACTAGAGCGAGCGCTGTCTCGTGCGTACGCGGCTCGCACCACTCAGTTGTCACTGGTTTAGACAATGGTCAATTGGATTTCCAGATGAAATGCCAGGGATTCACAAGACTTTATTGAACAAAGCCAAGCGAATTTCATAAATTTGGCCTTTCTCTCTTAACACTTGATGCAGCTGTATAAATGTATACAATGGCATTTATAACTAAAGTCGATTTGAAACATCTGTCACTGAGGGTGTCTAGCAAGCATGTTTTGTTTTTGTTTTTTTTACAGTAAAACTCACATCAATTTTAGCCTGAGAGATATTAAAACACCTGCCACAGTGTTTATGATGAGGAGAATATACAGCCCACTTCCTATAATAAGGCATAAATTTCCTGCCAAGTTGTGGTTCGAGCCATCATAACATCTCGCTGTGCACGCCTCTGGGCGTGAGGATTGAGAGATTATGGTGTCCCATCGGCGACAAGGGGGCCGACTGGAGAGGCTATTACCCAATTTCCCCAGAGGCAGAGAGAGAAGTGGCTGAGGTGGGTGGCGCGGCGTCCTGTAAAGAGAGCGGAGGAGGAGAGCCGTGTGATGTGAGTAGCTCACAAGCTGTCACTATGTGAGGGCTCCTTCCCTCCGCTCCACACAGTCCCAGGGGAAGGTCGGAGGTCAGTGGGCCACAGTAGATGTGCTCTGTTGAACAGTGGTGTCGCTGTGAAAGAGGGTTCTGCGTTTGGGTGCCTTTTGCTTTGTCTTTGTACCTCGGGACAAAAAGCAAGATTTGTGCTTTTCTGCTTCACCAGCTTCGTGGAGAAATATCCACCCAAACCTGAGAGGAGCAAAGTGATTGGCTCGTGAGTTTGAACTCTCTTCACACTTTCATCCTTTGTGTTCTTTACTGACAGGGCAAACTTTTTCTTTTCTGCTATTCAAAGACTTTCTCCTACTTTTCCTTCTGCAGAGCGAAGGAATACGAGAAGTCAACGACTGGCACGATACAGGCAATGACACCGGTCTCTGACTCCCCGTACAAGGCCAAGTGAGTGTTTAAATTATTTATAGCTTCATACGCTTTCTTCATTTTTGATAACTTGATGATTATAGCCGTGTAGGCCGGCAACTGCCAATTGTTTTCGTTTTAATAGAACCCAAACTGCATGGTATATTCATAGCTAACTATTTTCCCATGTATTTGAAGAAATATTAACATGACGTTGCTGAATTAGGCATTTTGCTTAGAAAATTATCCAAATAGTTACAGATTCAAAATCTTTAGATTTGATAAGATTAAACTGCCCTTTTAAAAATATATATTTCTAATTGTATGCACGAAGGGTTTCATCTCTTCCGTCATGAATAGTTGGCTGAAGCGGGTGGACACTTGGGAACAGCTTTCCTACATGTCCTGGCTCTCGTATGTTCAGGTTTCAGCGGCTGGTGAAGGACCTGTTGAAGCAGCTGCAGGGTCAGGACGGCGGCCAGAGCGCCAACAACAAAATGTCGGGCCTGGACAGAACTCTGGGAGAGATGTCTCGCATCTTGGAAAGAGAGGTAGACCAGAAAATCTATTCCATGGATACAGTGTGAACGTGTCAGATGCAGATTGCATAAGTGTGGTGATTGTTATTTCAAGATATCGGTTCTATATTTGTTACCAACCTGTCACTTTCCTTTACCGTCCATCTCAATCCTTGCTTGTCTACCACTCTTCCCAGATGGAAGGGGCACAAACAGTTTTTGTCCGGGGTGGGAGGGGTCGGCCGCGATCTTCTTAGCTCGCTTCAGAGACCTGGAAGCGAACAAGTCCTGCAGGGACGGCAGATTGCAGCCGATCACCCTCTCTGCAGAGCGGATGACACGCTGCAGCCTGCCCTTGTACTTGGCTGTGGCTGCAGCGTACCAAACGATGATGGAAGAGCAGAGGATGGACTCGATGATGGCCGTGTAGAAGTGGACCATCATCGTCTTTGGCAGGTTGAGTTTCTTCAGCTGCCTCAGGAAGAACATCCTCTGCTGAGCCTTCTTGGTGATGGAGCTGATGTTCAGCTCCCACTTGAGGTCCTGGGTGATGATGGAGCCCAGGAAACGGAAGGAATCCACAATAGTGACAGGGGAGTCACACAGGGTGATGGGGGAGGGTGGGGCTCTGTTCCGCCGGAAATCCACAACCATCTCCACTGTCTTTAGAGCGTTGAGCTCCAGGTTGTTCTGGCTGCACCACGACACCAGATGGTCAGACTCCCACCTGTAGGCGGACTCGTCCCCACCAGAGATCAGTCCAATGAGGGTGGTGTCATCCGCAAACTTCAGGAGCTTGACGGACTGATGACTGGAGGTGCAGCTGTTGGTGTACAGGGAGAAGAGCAGAGGGGAAAGAACGCAGCCTTGGGGGGAACCGGTGCTGATGGTCCGAGAGGCTGAGACATGTTTCCCCAGCTTCACGTGCTGCTTCCTGTCAGACAGGAAGTCTGTGATCCACTTGCAGGTGGAGTCGGGCACGTGCAGCTGGGAGAGTTTGTCCTGCAGCAGAGACGGGATGATGGTGTTGAAAGCAGAGCTGAAGTCCACAAACAGGATCCTGGCGTAGGTTCCTGGGGAGTCCAGATGCTGGAGGATGTAGTGGAGGGCCATGTTGACAGCATCGTCCACAGACCTGTTGGCTCTGTAGGCGAACTGCAGGGGGTCCAGGAGGGGGTCGGTGAGGGACTTCAGGTGGGTCAGGACTAGCCGTTCAAAAGACTTCATGACTACAGAGGTCAGGGCGACGGGCCTGTAGTCATTGAGTCCTGTGATCCTGGGCTTCTTGGGGACAGGGATGATGGTGGAGGCCTTGAAGCAGGCTGGTACGTGGCATGTCTCCAGGGAGGTGTTGAAGATGTCAGTGAACACCGGAGACAGCTGGTCAGCACAATGCTTCAGGGTGAGGGGAAACGGAGTCCGGACCGGCTGCCTTACGGGGATTTAGTCTTCTAAAGAGCCGGTTAACGTCTCTCTCCAGAATAGAGAGGGTCGTTGCTGGTGGGGGAGGGGAAGGCGATATAGTTGAAGAGGCGTGAGCACCTGATGGGCTGGGGGAGGGAGGGGAGGGGGACTGCAGCAGGTTGGTGGAGCTGTGGGGGATGGGATCAGGACATTGTCTTTCAAATCTGCAGTAGAACTCATTGAGCTCGTCTGCCAGGCGGAGGTCATTCATGGAGTGGGGGGTTTTTGGCTTGTAGTTGGTGAGGTGTTTGAGGCCTCTCCAGACCGAAGCAGAGTCACTTGCTGAGAACTGTTGTTGGAGTTTCTCAGAGTACAGTCGTTTAGCATCTCTCACCGCCTTGCTAAACTTGTATTTTGCCTCTGTGTACAAGTCTTTGTCCCCACTCCTAAATGCCTGATCCTTCTGCAGGCGTAGTGTTCTGAGTTCCGCTGTGAACCAGGATTTGTCGTTGTTGTAACTCACCCTGGTGCATGATGGTACACAGCTGTCCTCACAGAAGCCGATGTAGGAAGTTACAGCCTCTGTGAACTCATCCAGACTGTCAGTAGCAGTCCTGAAAACATCCCAGTCTGTGCAGTCAAAGCACGCCCAAAGATCCTCCAGCGCCTCACTGGTCCACTTCTTGAATTCCCTCACCACAGGTTTGCAGAGCTTTAGTTTCTGCCTGTATGCAGGAATCAGATGGACCATGACGTGGTCAGAGTGTCCCAGTGCAGCACGAGGGACGGCGTGAAAAGCCCTGCTTACTGTGGTGTAACAGTGATCCAGCGTGTTCTCCTCTCTGGTGGGGCATTTAATAAACTGTCTGTATTTAGGGAGTTCATGGCTGAGATTTCCTTTGTTAAAGTCCCCGAGGACAATAACTAAAGAGTCCGGGTTGGTCCGCTCCACACGATGAAAAAAGTTTCCAGATCAGGAGAACAGTGGTGTAGGATCACCGTTACGTCGTTGCACCAGCTGTTGTTGAAGTAGAATCAGATTCCTCCACCCTTTGTCTTGCCGGAGAGCTCCGTGTCGCGGTCCGCTCGGAGCAGCTGGAAGCCCGCCAGCTGGAGCGCAGAGTCCGGTATCGATCCGCAGAGCCACGTCTCCGTGAAGCACAAAACGGAGGATGTAGAGAAGTCTCTGTCTCTCCTCATCAGCAGCTGAATTTCGTCCAGTTTGTTGCACAGTGAGCGCACGTTGGAGAGAAAGATGCCTGGCAGCGGAGTGCGAGAACCACGCCTGTGGAGTCTCACCAGCGAGCCGGCCCGTTTTCCTCTCCTACGGCGTCTCACCGCGTGACGAAAGGTAAGCGCACCTTTGACTATAATGTCCAGTAATTCCACGGAAGAAAGCAGGAAAGTTGGAAGTAACTCCGCTGGAGTTGTTCCACGGATGTTCAAGAGCTCATCTCTGGTGAAAGAGCTCCGGGAATCGCAGCAGCAAACGTAATTAACAACAAAAACAACAAAAAACGAAGCGCACCGAAGCACCGTGGCGGCCATCAACGGCGCCATCTTGGATCTTCAAGATCTTCAAAGTGTGCTATCAATGCACCTGAAACAAGTCACCAAATAAACTCTGACCCTCTTTCTTCTCGCTCGACTCTGCGCTGAATCCTTCGCAGCTCCTGCGTACGTCTCACAATACATCTCACAGGCGGCTGGAAAACAATTAAATGAGTGTGATA